TTTGTTTTACCACAACAGGAAACCAGGGCCTAAATCAACTTTGTTCAGACTTGACTTATCCTGTCCTTTCATGTCTTAGAAAAGGTTTCTTTGGTGGCAGTGAAGACATCTGTGGGGTTCCTGTAAGTTGAGAATAAACAGGAAATCAATTTATTTGTAAATTAAAAATGTCTTAGCTGTTTAAAACAAAAGTTTCTGTCAATAATGATTAAAAAACATGAGAAGAGAAGCTTTTTTCATGCAACTAATCAGCTAATTTATTCAAACATTCGTGAACATTTTGTCAAATAATAGACATCAGTTGAAATTTAAGGATCATTCATGTCACATGCGGCTGTGAACTCTGCAGCTGGTATGGAAACCGGCTTGTTCCAAGAGGTTTCCTAATTATAACCATTGTTCTTTTCAAAAGGACCCTTGTTGTTGAGGAATAAAGGAACTTTACGGCCTCCATATTTCAAAACCCCCCTGACCTCTGAAGGAACTCTACTCCCTTTCAGCTGAAAACTTTCCTTTTCAGCCGTCCACACTTCTGTCATCGACCCTTTTTTTACCGGTAATTTACACATTTTTTGACAGTGTTCTTTGTGGACAACATGAGGATCAAGATGCTCTTAGGAAAACTTAACACAAAGTCTTCTTGATTGATGATTTGAACCCAAAGATTTAAAGGGTCTCTGTGGTGACCAGACGATGAATCCTGAATTATGAGCAGCTGTATTCTCCACAATCTCAACACTCCCGCTTTGAAACTCTTCTACATTTAATTGATGGTTTGTTATGGAGTTTAGATGGTTATCTCACTTCTTCCTGTGAGGGGTGGTCCTCTGACTTGTTATCTAGCTTCAGCACATGAACTCCCTAAACTAAGATGAAACAACAGGCTGATGATATGACCGGCTTAATATCGCGTAGGCTCCCCTCTTGTGGGGCCATCAAATCCACTTGACCTCTTAAAGTGTGTTGTGGATGCTGGCACTGAGACGCTAGTAGCAGATCCCTGAAGTCCTGTGACCAGCCAGGAGGGGCCTCCATGGAGCAGACTCGGGTGTCCACTAGCACCTGAGTGTCTTCAGGCGACCTCCTTCTTTAGCCTCCTCTGTGGTCTGGGTCTGATGCTCTCTTTAGGCACTATTGGTGGTCATAGGGGTCAGTATGAGAACCCTGACCGGTTTGTGTCATCAGGGTGTTTACATGTGATGCTCAAAGTTTGATTTGTCATGTCGTTTTCCATATCTGACCAGGAGTCTGTGCAGGGTGTGTGTTTCTGAAGAAATAAGCAGCCTCACCGTTTCTAGGTTGGCTTATCTGATCCATGAAGCTTCCTGCAGTGTTGTGGACCTCTTGTTAGTACGGTGTCCTGATCCTTCCTGAATACGCAAAAACAGTTTCATTACAAGTAAAAGCAACGATTTGTGCATGTGCTCAGCTCCTTCTGCTGCATCATATGGGACTCAAACTTTAGCTTTCTCATGGATATCAGATCACAGAACCCTAACCAGCTTCATCTTAAAACACAAAGATTTCTGGTAAACGTATCTTTACAGCAACAGAGGGAGTGTTGTGAGTAAAAGTACAATAAAAACGAACACTGCGTAAAGCTTTCCTCTTCAAACAGCTCTTAACCAAGCGTCCATCCGCTGATCAATATCCCTCCCCCACATCCCTTCATCTCCGCCCTCTGACCTTTGTAAGGATGTAGCAGCTGAGTTCTTTATTGCCTGGCAACCACATCCTCCATCTTCTCCTGTGACAACTGCTCTGCAGCTCACTGCAATGCAATAACACTGCAGGCGGATGCTCGAACCGGTTCAAAGTGAACATTACAGATCAAGTCGATATAATCTATTACATGTCAGAGTTTACAGAAACAGAAATGACTGAAAATTGTATGATTTACTTCTCACACTGACATTAACAAAACCTCAGATTTCAAAGTGCTTGAGATCAACTCCATTGATAATGTGATTAAACTGCTGTTGGGTAGGGGTCTGTTATATCCTTGTGATATTACAGGAACACAGTGCTGTGCTTTTGTCAGTATCAGAGGGGAACTGTCAGCCCAAACTAGAACGAATAATTAGTGAACTTCCTGCCAAACAAACTGCACCAGCGCCTGAATTTTCATCTGCTCTTGCAACTTAAAGAACATTTAGTGATAACTGTTCCTTCTCTGTCTGTGTCGATAGGAGTGTGTGACATCAATACATAATAATTTCTCTATACTTCTAATCAGAATTGACAGTATCTTGCGCCCCCTAAACATGCCTTTAAAAGTCACGTGTTGTACAAGCTTATACTAGTTCATTATAGCATGAAAGATGATGAGATTGATAAAAATAACTTACATGAACTCCAGACTGAGTCAAGTTCAGTTAAAAAATACTAAAATCACCAGAGTTAACAGGGCAAACAAATTTGTGAAAAGAGTATCGACTCTGACTCTGCCAAGTGTGTGTTTCAGCTGCTCGTTTGTGGTTAACCCCTGGCTCCTAAAGCTTTCATATTCACCAAATTCTGTGTGGTTATCAGTTCACAGATGGTGAAACAAACTGGTCTTCAAGCTGTCCTAAAAGACACGCACTTTATGAACAACATTAGTCTTTGCAAAGCGCAACCACCTCCATCTGCAGAGACTGGTGGTGTTTTTTTTTCCCACTGTTTAACTTCAGCCTCGCAGGCAGCTGGGGCTTGTTATGATGTGTGAACGCCGCATGTGTTCTCGTTATGCATGCACAGTAACCTGTCCTGCTTGACCTGATCATGTTGACTGAATCTGTGCGGACTCATTGTATTTTCTTGACATTGTTTAAACAGATATTTTCTAAGATGTTATATTCTGTGTGTGGCGTTTGTCCTCTCGTTGACAGCTTGAGCTCTTCTTAATGTCCAGCTTTATCGCTGCAGACAACAGCAACAGGCAGGACATTTGTGAATGAAAGTGCACGCTTGTGTGTGTGTGCTGAGATTATGACGCTGTCTAGTGGTGGATAGGATTTGCGCCTGTGTGTTCGTGTGTGTTTGTGTGTGTATGATTAAGCTCTGTAAGTGATTGTCTGAAAGAGAAGCAGGGTTTGATAAAACGAGAGACGTGTAAATTGAAGATTCATCTTACAGTGTTGTAAATTTAGATGTTTCCATGACGCCTGCCGTGGCAGACGTTGTCGTGTGTTAAAGTCGGGGAAAGCTATTACATAAAGCCTGCTGCCTTTTTCAGTTTTAGATTCGATTCCCGATGTCTTCTTGTCTCTCTAACTTGTTTAATCGGCAGCTGTCACCACAGTTACTCTCACCATCCCTGCAGCTTTCACTCAAAGACCTCGACTGCGTCAACAGCGTTCGGGAGACTGCGGCTTTTAGTACTTCAGCTACTCATTCACCTGTTACTATCTTCATCGACGCCGAGCAGCGGTTCTTGCTGTCCAGCTCACCACAAACACACCTCTTCTCACACACAAACACACGCAGACCCGCACGTGGCCCGTGTGACGTCGGCAGAGGGGATTTCCCTTGCCTTCCAAGAGCGTCAGACCAACTCTACAAATGCTGTGTCACTGTGGTGCTGCTGCCTCGCCTCAACCATGCCACAGCTCTCCCTCTCCCTTTTTCGATTCCCTCTCTTGTTTCTGTTCCTGTGTCTCCGTCTGCCTCTCGCTGTCTGTCCCCTTCGTCTTCGCCAGCCTGCTTCAACTTTCGCTGACTTTGTCTCGTCTCCTGGCGGTTACTAATCCAGCGATCCTTTTCACTCTTAATTGTCTTCGCCGTTCTTCATATCTGAGCGGACTTCGGTTTGGGTTCAGTCGTTTCGGTGCATTTTCTCAAAAGTTTATCAGAGACGGTTTTGTATGAAAAGAGGAATGCATGTAGACAGCGGTACTCTGCGCTAATTTGGACCAAGCTTGTTTCCTCTTGGCTCTTGTGGTTGTGTTCAGCACTCTAGCCGGAGTGCGTGCAGGTGTCTGGTTTAAAAAGACACAACCTGGAGATGATCTTTCACTTCGAGACTGTAAACATACGAGCACAGGCTTCAAAAATATGCCTGGTATGTCATACTTACACAGTGTGTGTAAAGGAAGTGGCAGTTTTCTTCTACACACCTGTGTTTGCACATGTTCTTTTTTTTTGTAGCTTCACTTTCTTGTACCTGAACATCACCGAATCCTAACAGCTGATCAACACGATCATCACTCGCTTGTGTTTGTGAGGCGTCAGTGTGCACCTCTCTTATATAACTGTGCAGTATCAGTGCTCATTTTTTTTTGTCTTCACTTGCTTTGAGTCAGCATGTTGGGCTTTGCTGTGTAATCTGCATTTTGCCTGTCAGATGGAGGGGTTGTAAATGACTCTGTGTGTGTGTGTGTGTGTAAGAGTGAGTGAGTGTGTGTGTGTGTGTGTACACGCACGCACTGCAGTCCAGTCCAGTTATTGCAGGCAGCCCTGACACAGATGGTGCTCAGCGATACCACATACCAGAGGCATTGTTTAGGGAAGGCGAGTTCGAGGAGATAATTGACAGCCATAGAGAGGACCCATCCCCCCATCTTGACACACATACACCTCCCATCCACCTTCACTCCCGTCTCTTAATGTCAGCTTTTTACCGTGCTGCAAACACACACGGGCAGCAGACCCACACTCAGACCTTCTCTCTCTTGCTTTAATCTCATCTTTATACTAGCTCTCTCTCTCTCTCGCTCTCTCTCTTTCTCTCTCTCACACACACGCACACACACGCACACGCCACCCTCACTCGCTCTCCTTCAATTTCACCCTAGCAGCAGAGCCCAGCCCGGCCTCTGATTGGTGGACGGACCGCCTTTGTGTGCAATCTGTAGCGTGACGTCTCTCCGACAAGATGTGTGCTTGTATGCGTGTGTACATTTGCTCATGAGTGTGTATGTTTAAAGAGAGAGAGAGGGGGGAGGGGTGGCCGAGGGGGCTCCCACATCATGTGTGCAGAAAGAGAAGAAAAAAAAAAAAGAGTGTGTGGAAGGAGTGATAGCGATCACAGAGACAAAAAAAAAAATCCCTCTCGCGTGTGTGAGTGTGTGTTTGAGTGTGTGTGCGGTAAACCTATTGGCATACGAGCTGTAGAGAAAGAGAGAGAGAGAGAGAGGGAGGGAGGGGGGTAGAGCAAGAGCACAAGCGACAGAGAGAGAGAGAGAGAGAGAGAGAGGGAACGTGCGTACGAGGGCTCATGTAAAACCAGATTAAAAACACAAGATGGCTTCCTGAATGGGCTGCTGGAACACAGACGAGAGAGAGAGAGACCGAGAAAGAAGAAGAGTGGAGAGGAAGAGAGAGAGACAGAGAGAGCGAGAAAGAAGAAAGGAATAGAGGGATAGAGGTGAAGACGAGAGGGAGCCCGAGTCTTCTGATGGGGATTCGGCCAGTGGACGAAGGAGTTCAAACCAAGGCAGCTCAGAGGCTTGGAGGGTAAATATTCATCACTCCAGACTATTTAGAATTGATAGGTGCGGGGGGGTGGTTTGGGGGGGGGGGGGGGGGGCGAGGTTGGCGGGACCGGGGAACAGCTCGAGACAAAACACACACAATTTAACACTGAGACAGCCAAGACTATGTAGACAAGAGGGGCCGGCTGTGCCAAATAAGAGGATGCTGTTATTTAGAAATAATCAGCCATCACTATATCCCTTCATCTTCATCTCAGCAAACTGACACTTGTGCACAATTTACACATTTACCCCCCTCTGTCAGCTGGCTGATGCAGACCTACCTAATGCATGTATTCATTAGGATGTGTCAGGTTGGGATACAGACATTACATAATTCTATAATTGAAATTGAATCCCGCTCGCCGTCTCTTATTCTCCGTCCCAGCAGTAGAGGGAAGTGCCGGCTCGCTGTTAGAGCTCAAATCAAAGAAAGCAGATCTGTGCGGCTTGTCAGCTTTTTTTATGATTTTCCTGAGGATGACAGTAAAGGTGATGAGATTGTTTGTGAAAAGAAATGCATTTCGGACCGGGGAGTCTTACTGTCTCTAATGACAAGTGTTTCTGACCGCGCCGTTGTCGCATTATTCTATTGATTGTTATTCTCTCCCCCCTCCCATCTCTCTCCGTCTCCTTCTCACTCCCCCCTCTCTTGTTCTGTTGAATGGCTGTAAAGGTGGAATATTTTGAAGACAACAGTCGAGGCTGCTTGGGAGACAGTGAACTGGCAGCTGAGGTAAGAGAGGGCATTGGGTTTATGTTTGCCTGCTGTTGGTGTGTATGTGTGTCATCTCTGTCATCTGGGCGTAATCTCTGTGCATGGTGCAGCTGTTGGTTCATCAGCATTGGGAGGCTCTTAAATGGAGTAAACAAGGTGGTTGTTAAACACAGCGATCCTTTCCACCAGTGTGAATCCACACATGTGTTTGCACAAAAGATAAAACACCCCTGTCTTTCACGCGTATGTAATTCTCTTAATAGTTTTGGCACTTGGTAGTTATTACGCCAAAAAGGCTTGTCAGTGTTGCAGTTGTGTTGCTCGGATGTCATTTCGCTGTTTGCTGCTCGTCCCGTCCAAAAACCCGAGCACATATCATCGCTCTGGATATCATCACAAGGCGGCATACAGGTGTGTAAGACACCTTTAACTTTCTAACTTCCCATCCGAGTCGCCATGCTCGGAAGCTGATTATTTTAAATCGCTGCTACTTTTCTGCGAGCTGCAGTGAGCTATGCACCTCATTGATGAAGTGGCGGCGTCCTCAGTTTAAAGCGTCCCACGCTGCCCGCTGATTGGTGCCAGAGCCAGGCATGTGTAGATACAAGAGACCAAGGAGAGGAGGAGGGAGGAGAAGGGAGGAGGAACCCTACGCACTGGCTCAGGAGCCAGAGGGGGGCCGTCCTTCTCTTCCTAGGTTTTGGAGTCAAATGAGGTAAAGGGAGTAAAAGTTAGTGGGTCACGCATGCGTACGTGTTTGATTGTCGGCGTAGTAACCTGTGGCGTCTGGCCGCTGAGAGCTGCTGTTCTGCAACAAGCCGAGTCGGGGCACGCTTGTGGGTTTATGTGCAAAGGAAGTCAGAACAGAGAGGCTTCCTGGATAAAGGATTTATTGAGCAGCGAACAAGCAGCTGTAGGAGTGATGTTTCCTGGTAGTATCGGGAAAAACCCTTTGATTCACCTGCTATCAAACGCAGCGATACAAGGTGTCATCGACCAAGCCGTGCGAAAGCGTGGAAAGTCATGACTCAAGACAGATACACTTGCGTCACGATTTGAAATATAGGTTAGTCAATCAGTTTCGAATGTCATGAATGGGCTCCACTGAGATACTCCAGCTTAACCCTAAGCCTGCTGTAATCCCCGTCCATGCGTAGACTCTTTAACTCTAAAGCATGTATGGCCATCTGGTTCGCAAAGAAAAAGCACCGAACTGTCCAATTGCGAGGACAGTTGTTGATCATGTTAATAAACATTGTATTTTCTGCCTTTGGGGCTTTCCAGGGATCCTGTTTGTGAAGGGTCACGGTTACTGTGTGTGTCCTTGGTGGAGTGTTTGTCTCAGTGAGATCCTTGTCAAACATTCCCCTGGTTGCACAAAGACAACACAGTCTACACCCAGCAGGCTGAGAGCAGTATTTTTGAAGAGTTAAATAAGCAGTCACATGATATCATTAAGTATTTTAAGTACACACACACCAAAAACAGGACATTGGAACTTGAAAAGAGGATGTCATAAGAGACAGACAGCACTGCTAAGCGTTTATTTCAGCTTTTACAGTGTAGGGTATGTTTGTTGGTCTTCTTTGCTGTTCAGGAAGCAGAACTAAATCAAGAGTTTACCACAACAGGTTACAAGAGAGACATACTGCACTCGTGTGATTTCTTTTCCACGCCCCTACGCAGGATTTCCTCTTTCTAAATGAGAGGAGGTTCACACGGCTCGCTGCTGGGAAAAAGAGTCAAAGGCAGAGTAGAAACACTCAAACCGCCGAGTGCGTGACAGCAGACGGAACGTTAGTTAATCATATGTTGGGTCTCGCGTGGAATCCCGTGCCTCGTTTGCAAAGGGTTAACACTGACCTAGTTTCCGTGGCAACACTGAATGTCTGATGACATCATTGCTTTAAATTTAGCTCAAGTCCGGCATCCAATGTTGGTCATGTGATCAACTAACCGGCACGGAGAGTGTGTGTGTGTTTGTGTAGTAGGTGGTTTGATGTTTTGTAAAGAGTCAGGAAGTGGAGGGTTTGACATCACCTCTTCCATTCAGGGTTGGCTTACGACTGCTCTGAGGTTTCCACTCAGCAGCTCTGTTACTCATGTGTTAAAATGATCTAATTGTTTATTACCTAGCTTGTTTTTGATGTTGGAGTCACGTTGTTTTGCTCCTGATTCAGCTCGAGTCTCCTTTAAGACATCTCTGACTATTGTCTGATCACATATCAGGATTGTAGATCTAACAGAGTCAGACAAAACATGACAACCGTACAGTACAAAGTAATGCATCACCAGTTGTGTCTTTGCTTTATTTGTTATGTAATTTCCTGTCTGTGGTGTTATACATTGTTGTGTTTTCACCAGTTTATACTACAACTCCCGTAAGCTCTAGAGGAATGGACACAGGAATGAAAGGTACAGTGTGTAGAAATAGGATTAGCCATGGCCATGCCTAGTGGACATATTCTGGATTAAAATGCTCCTATGCTCACTCCTCCCATTGGTGACAGAAGAGGGCCTTTGAGGACAACAGTGTGATCCCCCATCTGTCAAGTTTGAGGGGGGGGGGGTGTTATGCTTTTTTTATTGTCTTTATATTGTTCCTCTGATAGCTTCTTATCAGCTTTAAATGGTAAACAGTTCAACAAATTCTTAACATTTCAGGCTGTCTTTAAAAACCCTCTGAGATGCTTCATTTTAAGCTGCTGCTAGCATTTCATAACCTAGCATTCTAGAAGTCCCCTTCACTGTTGCCATGTGTTTCTACGTATAAAATGACACATTTGCCCGTTTAAAAAGATTCACTGTTCTTGTGTGACTTTTTAAAAAGCCATTCAGAGCCCCCCTGTGGGGATTACATCTGTGGATTACTTCAACACACGCTGACCTTACAGTCTGAAACTATGCTCGTATATTTTACTGACATCCAATAAGACTTTCGCAAAGCTTTATATATAATATTCCATTTCTGCCAACTCTGCTTTGATAAAGGCTGGGAAATACTTTGCATTGCACCTTTAAGTTCAAGGTGAACCATTGTCCACCCTCTGAAGTCCTCTATAACTCTGTGAGAGTAGACTATAAACTAAACTCCTCTTATCTTCTGTGGACTGTGTATAGAAAAGCAAATGTTTGTGACTCTGGCCTCTGTTAACAGCGGGGACAGGATTACTTTATCAGAGTGACCGAAGGGACTAGAAAACACTGCACCTTGTGGACCATCATGAGACTCCATTTTTATGTGTGTAGTCCCTAATGACTGCCTTACTTGCCAGCAGTACATGATCAGTATTGCTCTGTCTTCATCTCTCTCTGCTGGCAGTTTTCACATCTTTGTATCTGCACTATCTGTCCTGCTGCACTGCTCATAGTCCTGCAGTGAGCGTGGCTGCACTCAGCCTGCATTGAGTCCCGAGCTGGATCGATACCCTGCATGGCACGAGGAGCTGTGCCTGGTGGCTGGTTGGCATCGTTGGTGGTATCTGTGTCTCATGTCAGAGGGAGGTTGTCAGCCGCCTGGTGCCGCAGTTAATAAAAAATGAATGGAGAGAAAGGGGGAGGAGTTATCAGCTGTTGCCGGAGCTCTTTAACTCTCACCTCTCTGGTGGCTGCTCTGCTGCTCCCACTGGGCATGCAGTTTATACAATCCTGAATCCCACTGCTGCCTGACACTGCCAGGTTTTATGTAATACAGCACCACAGCTGTTCGAGTTTGTATCAGGCTATTGAAACTCGCGCATAAAAACATTGATTCCTGAAATAATGGAACTGTATTTATGTGAATCCAATTAAGGCTCATCTCTCAAGAAAGCAATAAAAGCTATTTATGATTGAAGGAAAATAGATTAACTTGTTGTGGCTCAGAAATGCATTGAATGTAGTAATTTCTACAAATATCTCATTTAAAGGACAAACATTGCCCTGCTGTTATCTTTTGGTCGACTCGGGCTGTGAATCTTGATGATTTTCTGTCTCCAAGGTTTCATAGTGCACTGTTGTGTACTGGCCCTTTAAGCCTGGCCATGCCTGACTTGAACATATGGGAAGCTAATCTTAGCCCAAGTCCTGAGAGAGACAACGCTGGCAAGCAGCCATCGTGCAGTGCTAAGAGAGGTTTTTCTTTCTTTCTTTCTCTTTATCTGATTTCTCTGAATTTTAAGAATTCACTGCCAAATGTTGTCTCACATAAACACTGAGGCTGTAATGTGTTTCAGACGAAGCTGCTTGTCCTGTGCTTGAAATAACCGCTTTCTGATTACATCAGTGTTCAATCGAATTTGATGGCTCAGCTCTTTTTTATGACTTGGCTGACATTCGTCTGGCTGGTCAAACTACACATTATTCTTTTTAATATTTTTTCAACCATTTTTAACTTGCTTGTTTTCCATTAGTTCCTCTTTATTGTTGGCTCATACCTCGTACTAGTCATAGCCTCTATATTGATTACAGTCCTGTCTTTCTTTTAATGTCCCAGACCTCATGCACAAAGAGCTGCCTCTTAAAAACAGCCCCCCCCTTCCTCCTCATTATTTCTTTTGCGACTCCACCCTGCCCGACAGCCCCCCACCCATCACCACCTTTCTTTTTTTCTCTTTCTCTCTCCTCCCTCCAAAACCTCTCCTCCCTTTCTCTTTGTGAGGAGTGGTAAGGAGTGGTTGTGGGGGGTAGGCCTTCCCCAGCTGGGTAATTCGTGCCGACTTGCACGTGCCGAAAGTCAGGAGGTATGACTCAGGCTGGTTACTCTATACTCGTTAGTGCCGTCACATCTACTACAAACACACCCTGAACATAACACCATGCTGCCTGGAAGCATGTTGAGATGGGGGCTGGGGGCAGATGGCAGTGAAAACAAAGACAAAGAGAGGAAACCAGCCAAAAAACAGACAAATGAAAGAGTAAATAACAAGGTGACACTTTAAATATGACATGTTAACAGTCTGTTTATCGCATATATAATCTACATATAATATATGCATACAAACGACTCTGCAAGCTTTAGCAGCTTTACTTTTTATACCCTGATCAAAAAAGGGCACAATAAGTCAGTTTATTTTTATTTTTTTAGTTATAATAAACAAAATCTTATTTAAAAGCTTTTTTCTGCCATATTTGGTGTATGAAAAGACAACTCTTGGTAAAAGTTATAATAAACTAATCATAAAAACAGATCTAATAGAGACATAACCTTTTTTTGTTTAACCAGGCTGAAGCACTTTGTGCTGCCTCCACTCTGCTCAGTGCAGCTCTGCAGCCTCTCGTCCTGCCCACCAATAAACCCAGTGACCCCAGAGAACAATCCAATACTGTATGCATACTAGCATGCATGTGTGTGGGGGAAAAAAAAAAACTTACAAGCGTGCCTCTGCATTTGTTGCCGGTGTGTGCATGTGAAAAGAAACAGGCGTGTGTGTTGGTGGCGCGTGTGCAAGGAGGGGTCGGGTGGACGGGGAGAGTAAGAGACGTTTAAGATAAAGGGACAAGGAGAGAAAAAAAGAGGGAGAGGGGGAAGGAGAGAGTCAGAGTATGTCAGATCAGATGACCTTGATGCTATTAGACTGCAGGGCTATATGGGTTGGGGGTGTAGTGGAGGTAGATGGGAGCAGTGGTGGAGGGAGGAGGAGTCAACTGACAGAGAGAGATGGGGGGAGGGGCAAGGACCCTTGCGTCATGACCCTGAAGCTCATTGGTGCGTTTTAACCCTAACTGGCTCTGGTTCTCCTGCTGATGAGAGGCGGTAAAGGTGCAGCAATACAATCCTAAAACCAGAAAAGTTGTAAAATAATGATAAAAACAAAATCTGATTGTCCATTAAGAAAAGACTGAGACAGACATCCTCAGTTCTAAAGAGAGGGCCACTTAGCTTTTTATCAGGGGTTCAAAAAACATGCATGATATGAGGATGCATAAGTGCTCATGCCATGACTAGTTTACACATCTGAGAAGGCATCGTTACGGCTAAATATAGCAACATATCTTGCTGTCCAGACAATGTCTTTTTCAGGAAATGCGTATTCCAGTAGAGTAGAGGAGTCCTGGTGCAAACTGGCCTACCTGCACACACGCCAAGACATAAAAAATATCACAAAGCAGACCTTAAACTGTTGAGCAGCTGAAATCTTTTTTCAAGCAGGAATGGCAAAACATTTGACTTTAAAAAATCAGGAACTGCTCTCTGTTTATTTTGTTTGTTGTTAAGAGAAAAGTTGATGTAACACCATTGTAAACATGCCCCCGTCCAAACGGTTTGGAAACATGCTGCTGGCATCATATTTTAAATGAGGATATATTTTTCATAAAACAAGAAAATTTTCAGTTTTATCATTTGATAATGTTTTTTCTCCCCCCACATTTTTCAATCATATACATGCTTCAATGACTTTAAAAACCACCTGTTTCAGTTCCTGCATCTCAATCCTCTTGGCATTGGGGTTGTTGTTGAATCATTTCTTTGAGAGACCTTTCCCCCTGTGGTGCCCTTGAAAAAGAACAAATTGTTCTTTATTGACATCCCCGTACCTCGAACACACAAACCACCCACTAGTGATGTGCTGGGAAAAAAAATGTAAAAAGCTCATTTCAGTGTGTGTGAGGGTTTTCATGTCAGGACTTTGTTGAAAAGAAGAGAGAAAGATGACTCAGGCTTAGTCATGCAAGCTAACCCAACACACAACGCTCAGGACGGACTTTTGTTGTCAGTCATCCCTCCTACAACCGAGACCTTTCCTCTGTGCTGCTGAGAAACAGAGAGCGAAAGACAGAAAAGTGAGAGGGATGGAGAGAGAGAGAGAGATAGTGAGAGAGCAAGGAGGGCGTGAAGCAACTCATTTGAACGATAATTTGACTCGATTAGAGATATAGCGATCAATGTGAGATTAGGAGCCTCTGTTGCGCGTGCCTCACTCTCTCAATGCCGGGTTACAGCAGGTTTACCGTAAGTGTGCAGCATACTGATTCATGTTTCATTTCTCCTCATCACTGAAAGGTTATTGTTGTTATCATTTCAAATGTATTGTGGTCTCAGGGTTATGTGAAACGAGAGCCAATGGATTAATTTAGTCACTGACTTACTTCCAGTTATAATTTAATCTATCACGTTGTTGTGCTATCTAGTTGAAAAGTAACTCATTGAGCTAAGGAGGTGATCTCAGGACAGCGCTCTCAGGCATACCAGAGAATCAGCACAGTTGAGTTACCTCTTTGTGTTATTTGAACTTATATATCATGGCATTTTATCACATGGTTTTATAGCCTTATCTGTCTAGTTAATGTATACCTAGAAACAAATGTTATAGATGTAAACACCTGTAACGTACAACAATATTTTACTTGAAATGACTCTGTCTTTGTCCTCCCTGTTTTGAGTCATCGGCAGACACGTGTGTTTAAATCAAAGGCTCCATCTTTTATTTGTTTGTGCCTACATACAGTCAGTTTTAGGTGTTATACAACTTCTGCTTCTGATTTGACGTCGTGGAGGTTCCCTTTTTTCAGGTTGTACTTTTGGTCACATCATACTTCTTGTTTCACACAGATGTGTACGTGGTCTGTGGCAGGCTCTGTGTGCTAATGTTTTTACTACCGTGAGTAATTTTATTCTGTACGAGCGCTGGTCACATGTACGTCTTGGGTTTCTGTTATATTTTCTCAGGGCTTATCTATAAATGAAAGTTTTACAGCCTTGTGATATAATTCATTTATGATTTGTTTGTCCTGGATGTGATTGTGTTGACAGCATGCTTTTACGAGCTTTACTATTTTAAAGCTATTCTCAGCGACATTAACTGAAGCAAGTGCATCATAGGAATACCATTTCATTTAACCACAAGCTAACCAATACAATAGTCTGTTAATAGCTGCTTTCCAGCAAATAGTCACAGCTTCACGCTTCATGCTGATTTAGAGTTGTATTGATTGAGATTGGTTTGTTTATAGGTGTAGTAGTTATCAGGCTACTTACACATTGAATAAACATGAAATTTAACATTTTAATTAACGCTAAAGTCTAAATGGTTTGCTGTATAACCCACTGAGCAATAGGCAGCTATTAGACATCTAGTTTTTTAGACCTAATTTCAACCGTCTAGATTCTGTATATTTTTAGATGGAATTTAGATGTTGCACTTTAACCCATTATTCGATAACTATTTATTTCAAAAAGCAACTGTGAGATGCATAACTGATCTCCATGTACTTAACCAATATAAATATGATAGCCGTTGAGCAATATACAGTTAGACCTCTGTTAGCCAGCTAGTCTAAATTGGTCCAAATCTAGATGTCTGAAAACTTTTATTTTTTGACCTGTGGTAGCCTGATTTTAGACCAGTTGTCTCGGCTACATTTAGACGTCTATTAGACCCCTTTTAGACCAAAAAATGCTCAGTGGGAATGTTGTGAACCAAAATTATATTTTTATCCATGTAAAGTCTTGACATTAGCGTGTTTCTGGCACTTTAACATATACAGAAAATACCAGCAGCACCAGTATTAGGTCCTCTCCTCTGTAACTTTTCTATGTTTATTTTCTTCTCAGTCACTTGGTCCCATAACTCTACCAAAGCCCAAACTATAATGCAGTTAGTGGTTGTTTTGTGTCTGTTTTCGTCGACTTGGTAGATGCCGTAACTTGTTTACATGGATTAATCTGATGCGTTTGGTGTGTTGATCTGGTTGTACCTTACGTCACATTTGCCATTCAGAAATACCAACTGTTGTCAAGGGGTTTTGGCCAATCAGAATCGAGTATTCAACACAGCTCACAGCAAAACCTAAAACATGACAGAATGAATGGTCCAGAGTGTGAGAGGATAGAAAAAAACCCGTTATGTTCAGTGTCGCTTTGACTGTGCGTGGAGAACATGTGATTCAGGGGTTAAGTCAGGGCTTGAGCTTAAATGCTGTGTCACCGCAGCCGGGGGAGGAAGCGAGGAGAAGTGAGTCGGGTAAATGAAAGAGCATGTTTTCAAGTGTCCGTCGGTGTGTGGTGTTGGCGAAAGCAGAGAGTGGGCACATTGTGTCATCCTACCGAGTGGTGAAGGCAAAGCAACCTGGTGGGAGACACTGATGGTGATGGTGATGTTGATGATGACGACGCAGCTATGTCACCGCCACATGTTTCCTACCTCTCTTGCTCACTGCTTTCCCTCTTGCTCATTGGCGCTCCGTGGTCACATGACCTAATGCTCTACTTCTCCTCTCCTTCCCTTAGACAGCTCAGGCTGCGCCGTGTTTCTCTTTGGGATTGAAGCTCATCTGTGTGTATACGAATATGTGTGGCAACAGAGAGACGGACAGTGTTCAATTTACAAGGCCGGAGAGCGGCTGCGTCAGACTGTGTTGGAGCGGTAATGCAATAAGCTATGCTAGAAGAGGGGAAAGCTTAGGAAACAAAACAGAGAGAGAGAGGGAGGCAGAGGCAGTTTGACAAAGCCAGAGAAAATGAGAGATCAAGTGAGAGGAAGAGAAACAGGGAAAAGTCAAAGTAAGGGAGGCAGGGGAAGCCTATTGAAGTTGATCCAGCCAGAGCGCTGAGTAGCCGGCACACGCTCAGTAATATAAGAGAAAAATACTACGCAAGAGCTGACAACGATCTGCATGGAGAAGACAGCCATGTTTTCCTGCTCCTCCTCTTCCTCCTGTTTAATTTGCTCCAAAACTCCAGCAATGTTGGAGAGAAGAGAGGAGGCCAGTCAGCCAGCAAGTGGGCGAGTGGAAACATCCGGAGATCATGAAGACATTGATGATGATGATGATGATGATGATGATAACAATGACGCCAAGGAAGAACGATGGTGAGGAGCGAATATCAAAACCGTTGAAGGTTGGCGGACAGGAGAGGATCGTAGTCTTGTACCCGTCGAAGTGCTGTTGGTAGATAACTTGTAATGTCTGTCTACGAGCGACATCGACCTCCCAATCTTCCTTTCATTCAGACTCTTTTTCTGCATCTTCACTGCAGCTTTAGTGTCAGTCACATGAAAAACAGTGACTCTCTCTCCTTCCTTTAGCTCTTGTCTTCCCTCTTTTCTGTCCATTCCTCTGTCTTCCTCATGCTGCCTGATTTCCATGTGTCATCAGCTGTGCCAGGCTATTTTTTTTACCTCTGCTAATAACATGTGGTCAATGCTCTTCAAACTTCCTACCTCTTGTAGGTTAGTGAGTAGACAGAGAGCGTTGATAAACCGCTGTCACCCTCAGCCTTCTTCCTTCAGTCAGAAACCTCCCATCACTCCTGCATCCTTCGCGTCCAAGAGTCAGGGCCAGCAAGAGACCAGCAAGCCAGCTGCCTCTTCACTTCCCAACCTTCTCTGTCCTGTGCATGCAGCTCTGCAAGAGGATCTACAATCGAACACGGGTGTAACATCGAGCCTTTTTTGTTTATCGCAAGGAATCGGCCACAGATGTGAATATCTACGGAAAGGAATAGAAATCTAATACTATGATGCGTGCCGTCTGCTTTGGGCCGGGGTTGAGCCGAATCTAGATAAGCAAACATGTAACATAATCTCCATAAAAGAAGACCGGATCCATTTGCAGAAGGCAAAAACGCAATGCAACATTGCCTCTTTTTGCTCCTTTCTCTTTTTCCGTGTGATTTCGTCGTGAGAGGTTGCATTTTTGCTTGCAAGCCGCTGGTTCGCCTCAGCACAAAGAATCACTGTCAGTGCTAAAATCGTCTACACTAGGCATTAGTGGATAAACAAATACAACAAAGCGTTATGTGTTAGATAATCTAATGTAATAAAGCAAGTCGTGTTGAAGGGCGTGGAGACAGAGAGAGAGGGTTTCTCATTGGTAAGAGCTCTGCTGCGCTGTGCTGTTTCCTAGGCTGCCGCTACGAGCGACTATCCCTCACAGCCCTCTCTGTTTCTGCTCACTGCACACTCCTCCATTCCATCGTACGTGCCCGCTGTGGCTCAGATAATGGCCTCTCGCTCTACACACACTGAGGAGAGAGAGGAGATGGAGGGAGAGGCTGTGCAGGAGGGAGGGGAATAAGGGAGAGAGAGAGAGAGAGAGAGAGAGAGAGGGAGAGGGAAGGGGGAAGGTGGGGGCTGCGAAGAGAAGCGGACTGCATGTGTACCCGAGAGAAAGAAAGAGGATATTGAAAAAGGGAAGGGAGGAGCAGACAGAGATAATGAGAAAGGAAAAAGGAGAAAACAGAAAGCGTCGGCCATAAGAAGAGAGAACAGAATGAGAAACGTGCGTGCGGCGCTGGGGGAGGTGTGTAGTGTTTGTGTGGCGGGCTATGTGTGCGTGTGTGAATGCATGTGTACTCCGGCGCTTGTTCCGTCTGTGTGCCGCACAGACTGAAAGATATAAAAAGGAATACAACCCCGCAAAACCGGATTGCTCGTGAGCTGCTGTGCCGGCAAGCAAGTCTCATGCTCCTCGCCGTTTCCTTTTCTGCTCTGTGCTCTCTGACCGGCATTCTCATCTGGACATTCAGGACCACGTAAGTATGCGTCGCTGCCCCCTCAAGCTCTCAGCCGGCTTCATATTGTCAGGGAATCTACTTCATGTTCCTGCTTGGCACAGCGGCAAAGGAAGGGGAGGGAAGAAGGACAACGGGCAGGATTTTGTGTGATTGTGTGTCTATGTGAGGGGGTTTAGGCTCAGCTGTCTGCTCACAAGTTCATTTTTAACCTAGAACCCCTCACCTCCTCAGTGTCTTTAAACATTGTGTCTCCTCCCTGTTTTTTTTTTTTTTTTTTTTTTTTTACAGTGTCAGTATTAAACAGCCCTTGATTCACCCTCCTGTTTAAAGGGCTCAGAGACTCAAGTGTCAAACAGGTCCTGCAACAATCTGATCTGGTTAGGTGTGTTGATGCATTCATTGTGTGTCAAGGTTGTGCAAAAGTGTGTATAGAGGTCTAGAATAGGGTGACACAGAAGTAGGACAGGTAGGGTCTTGAAAAGAGCATAGCCTCTGTCCTGGTGTAAATATTTGTCAAAGCACGTGGTCTGTGCAGCTGGCTGGGTAGGTGCAAAGCGCTGCAGGTGTGAGCGCAGAATTTTAATCCCAGACTCTTATAAAAGTTCATCAAGATTTGCAACTTTTATTTTCTCAAACATCATCCTGTAAAGTTTAAATAATGACGTCTTCAGAGACCTCTTAGTTTTGTTTGGTGTGATACACATTTTCTGCACATGCGGCGCTGAGTGGGACTTTAAGTGTGCAGCTCAAGGTGCTTTAAAAAAAAAAAAAACGTGATTTCTGTTTGAAGCTGAGTTTGCCTGTAAGAGGAGCAGGAAAAGAGAGTGTCAGGGTGACTGATAGTGTGTGATTGTGGGTTGTCTGATTGTGCAGTGTTGCAGTTTCTGTTTCAACACACTGCAGTTCTCATAACTGCCGTGCACAGCCAACCAACTCCCCCCACCCCCCCTTCCTCTTCCCTGTGATGCCACTGATAGTGCAGACATGGGGCCTCTCACGTATTGCATGCCGGCTGTTCGCAGCCACCCCCCTGATCCCCCTCCTCTCAAAACCTCACATCACATCTTAGCAATACCGCCGCCAACCCCCCTGGGACCCCCAGCAGACTTACAGCGCAGAAGGTAGATTCAAAAGACCCCGGCATACTGGCTGTCCGGTAATTAGCCACTTCAAAGGCTTATTTCAATGATATTTAAATGATGGGGAAGCAGGTTTAGGGATCACTTTAACTGTCATACACTGAGGAAACTACAAACAGAGACCTCATTTTTATAAACTCTTAATTAATAATCAAGATTTAACATGCAGAGATGACAGATGAGGTGCTTGAAGTTGAAAGTAAAGGATCTTACTTGTATTAGTTTGTTATAAAAGTGTAAAACTGTTGCACTGTGTGAAGTATCCAGTGGCTGCTTGTTTGGGGTTTCCTCTCAGTTAAGATTTTGACAGTTGAAATGTGCACTACCCTCTATTCACAAGGCTGACTCAAAAATCATGTTACCATTGCTAGTCTGCTTTTGTTTTTTTCCTCAAAGTAACTTCCAGGTCTGTGAGAAAACTCTTCAGTCACAACAACTCTGTCAATGATTTCTCAGCTTGCCCTTGAATCATTATTGTTTGCTCTTTTTCTCCAGACTCATTTGATTATAAAACACAAGGCTCTGTGCCTGGTTTTTAAACTCTAAGGAACAAATAAGTAGGACTGGAGTCATTTTCAGATCTAGAGTTGGCTTGAGTTGAAAATGCAGCAGATCTACCTTATTATTTTCAACATTTTTTCTTTATAGTGCAACTAATACCCCTCCTTCCCACGAGAGAATTAAAGCTAACACAAGCCTTTAAATGTCATTTGACACAAGTGGAACAAGGTGATGTGTTTGCAGTTTTCAGTGAAACCACTAATGTCGAAATTGTCCCAATTTCAACACAGAGGGAGGAAGTGAGATATGTGGCCGCTCTGATCAGCTTCTGATCAGTGTTACCAAATGTTAGGGGAGTTCTTTCAGCCCACTCAGGCGGCTTTATAGAAAACAACAACTGTCCTCTGAAAATACAGACGCAAATAACCTGTTACTTTTCCAGTAAACGGGCAGAGTCAGTGATAGAGAGGCTGATATGCTTTGACATAGACTCATCAGGAAGAAATATAGACAAGAATCATCCCAAAAATATGAACAAGTTGCTGTGTCAGGCCAAATACTAAAATTCACATGAGGTGATCTTTCATTCATCGGTCTCTGGTAGCATCATACTAATTTAGTTAGTTCTGGAAAGTTGGGAAGTCACATGTTGTATTTGTCCTCCAACCAGTATCAACTTGTCTAAACTAGACAGTGCATCTTCAAAAGTTAGCTCTGGACTTGTAACAGACAGAGCAGATGTAGACTTGACATGTTATTGTGCAGGACCTTGCTCCAACTAAACAGAGTCCCACCTTTATTTGCATTTAGCGTTGATAAAATTTGAATCTTTCTTAAAATATTTGCTCTTGTAATTAAATATTATATGTGTCAGGATCCTTTAGGGGAATCATGAAGATAGTTTGAAATATCACATGAGTGCACACAGCCACTAGAGAAAAAGAGAAACTATTAAACTCTCTTTAAGTTTGTTCTGCAGAAACATATGTAATCATCAAACACCAGCAAATATTCACGTAGGCTCTTCCTAAACAAGTTCTTCTAGCTCTACCAGCACTTCCATCTGCTTATTTTTTTCACTGTGCTTTTACCAACCATGGCAGTGTGATCTTAAACTCTGTCTATAACAGATTTGTGTTATTTTTGGTGGTCACATATTCAGTGTTATAGGCTTGCCTTTTAAGGTATGTTTCAGCTGGATTTATTTTTTTTTCTTCCTGGGTTTGAGATAATCTCTTCAGCCAATGAGAGCTGCACAGCTGACTTTCAGATGAGTTTTTTAAGAGCATGCTTTAGTTTTGTGGAGTAATTTCATGTTTGTGTGTTGTTCTCTTTGCCTCTCAGTTTCCCCTTTATGTGTCACTCCTGCTACACAAAGACATGTTATATTTCCAGGAGCTTGCTTTGCATAGTCAAACTGACTTGGAGCAGTGTGTTCATTTATAATCAGTTAGACTGTGGCGTATGACCTGTGACACGCCTTAAAACACCTGTTTTGAAATCTCTCCACATGAAAAACTTCACTTAGTTGTCTCTTACTCTGCTGACCTGACCCTGCAGACATGTGTACTGTTTAAGTGTTAGAGATAGATAAATAGTTTGGTGTTATAAATATGATTCAGTTAAATAATTCTGGCTCTCTGTACTGAGTTTGATCATGTTTTGCCTATCAGTCCTGCACTTATTTTATTGTAACAACCCCACTCATCACTCTCCCCGTTTGTCTTTCAGACTGTTCGTGAAGTCACTTCAGTGGATGGCCCCAGAAGTGGAGGCCAGATGGAAATTGGGTCACATGACCGCCTCCAGGAAGGCGCGCTGAGCCTGGAACTGGCCAATGGGGTGAATCCCTATCCGAACAATGAAGAGACCTCTATGGAAACAGAGCAACAGAGGGCTGGAAGTGTGCCCCCAAGACAGTGGGTGTCAGGACATGGCAAGGTCAGTGACACCCAACAACCATGTTGGAACGGCAGCGGCAGTACAACCACTGGTGAGCCTGTCCATCACGCAAACATGGAGGATGCCCACAACCTGGTGGCTTTTTCTGCTATCGCTGGCTCCCTGCCTCCTTCTTCCTCCTCTTCCTGCCTTGTGCAGCCCAAGACAGCCCAGCTTTATGAGAAGTTCACCCAAGAGATGGGAACTGAGGGGGGTCAGGCCAGAGTCCCATCGGGGACTCCTAGGGGTAGCTGCCAACCTCCAGAAGACCTGAACACCCTACAAACAGCATTGAGCCAAGCCAAACATGGACATAAGCCCCCTAACTGCAACTGTGACGGGCCTGACTGTCCAGACTATCTCGAGTGGCTGGAGAAGAAGATCAAGTTGGCGACCAGTGACGAACAAGGTGCTTGTAAGATGGTTGACGCCCCACCGCAAATGCAGCCTCATCCACCAAAACCCAATTTGCAACATCGACCCCAACCCTACCCTCAAATGAATGGCGGCCATCATTTTTCTGCTTCATTCCCCCAGCAGCAACAGGGAATTCAAGGCCCTCACACAAACCAAGTGCCCTGCTCCAAACCTCCAATTCCCTGCTCCCCCCAGGTGCTTTCTATAGCCAAGGAAAAGAACGTAAGCCTGCAGACAGCCATCGCCATAGAAGCCCTGACTCAGCTATCTGCTACCGGTCAACAAGGTGCAAGCTCTCCAAATCAAATACTGTTCAACAGCAACCCCCATCACCACCAACACACCCAGAGCCTCCAATCTCAGCCTCCCAATGGCAATAGCTTGATGTCATCCTACCCCAGCCCTCACTCATCTTCCCGCTCTCAATCCGTCCCTCCAGGACCACACACCAGCCAGCAGGCCCCCGTGTCCTGTGAGCACCACAGGCCCCAGTCCCAGGGCCAGCCACCCCATGTTAGCCCTCTCCCATCTTCTACCTCTCCCTTCCCAGGTCAGGGAAAACATCCAGGCTTCCACTCTAATCCACAGCAGTGGCAGCAGAGCTCAGGCAGAGGGTCTGATCAGAAAAACCAATGGATGTGTATGAATTCTGAGCTCCAATCTCACGCCGCAGCTGCACCTCAAAGCAACACTGACCCCATGTCCGAGCTCAAACAGCTGCTCGGTAACAGCAGTGGCAAGTTCAACAGTGCTCCTTTCAAGCTGCCAGTCACACAGTCACACGCATTGGCCAGGATAAAGCAAGAGCCAGACTCTGGTGACCACTATCACCACACTGCCTCCATGGGACATTACGGCATGGCTAACTGTCAGCAGCAGAGTCAGCACTATTCTGGCACTCCTCTGTCTCCTGGTCAAGCAGCCATAAGCCACTCCACTCAGGCAGCTCTGCAACAGCACCTTCACTACAAGAGAAACCTCTTCTCTAACCACTCCTCTGGCGTTGGCTCACCAGGCCCCCGTGCACCTATGGTATGCCAAAACTTGAAAAAATGGTGGCCACAGATGGAGGCAGAAGGGTTGCCACATCTTGCCATCAAACAGGAACCTAAGGAACCCAAAAAGAAAAAAAGCAGCCAGGGATCTCCTGTTATAAAAGCTATGAGTGGGATGCTCCCAGGCCCTCCCCTGCCCAAACCCAAACAGATAATCATCAAGAAGACCAAGCAGAAAGCTTCAATGCCAACCTTCCTGCCTCAGACTCAGATTTCAATACAAAAACCATCAGTCCTCATAATGGACAGAGCCCCGGCCCTGACCAGCCTGCAACCAGGTTGTTTCCCTTCTCTGCCCCTCCACAGTGACTCCACTCAGGCTGCTGCTGCAGGCCTCCCTGCCCCAGCCCAATCTCAGGTATCTATTTCCAACTCCTCAATGACTTCCTCTTCCATTGTCACCACTTTGTCAGCAAACACTCCAGCCCTCATGGGTCATCTGCCCCCACCTGGGGCCCCCGTCGCCCATGAAAAGTCAGATGAAACAGGCAGCCTGGCCACCAGTAACACCAGCACCACCACACCTCAGACCTCCACATCTGCATCTAGCGCACCACAACTACCGGGTCTCATCAACATCGATCCCAAGTATGAAGAACTGATTCGCCAGTTTGAGGCTGAATTTGGAGACTCAGCCCCAGACCCACCTGCCAGTCAGCCCATGGAGGAGACGGCCACAGCCCCTCAGCTGGAGCATCAGTCCCAGACGAATCCTCAAAACTTTAGCCCTAAACCAACACCCAAACCCCAGTTGGCTCCCTCGTTCCTCACCGCTCAAACCAATTCAACACCTCAACCAAATGACCATGAGATGGAAATTAACAAGGATGAGACAGGGACTCCGACTGAGGAAACCTTGAACCAGGCATCTACTAAAAACCTAATAGAGAAGCAACACGAGGGTGCCCATCATGTCTCTCTGAATCAGGACACCACTCTGGAGAAGCAGCAGCAGCCCAGTTTGCTGGAGGATATGTTCAGCATACCAGGTTCTCCGCTTCCTAAACGCATGAAGATTGAAACCTCGGGGGATATAGCAGTACTTTCCACCACATGTTACTCTGAGGAGGACACTCCCACGAAGGACAGTCTACCTTCTTCCCCGTCTCTCAGAGGCTTCCTGGAGTCTCCTCTTCGATATCTCGACAGCCCCACGAAGACGCTGCTGGACACACCATCCAAGGATCTACAAGCAGAGTTCCCCACTTGCACCTGTGTTGGTAAGCCTGCGTCATCCGCCTTAAGGATTAAGGCGTTTTGCTCTTTGTACATCTATATTTCACACTAACACCTGGCATTAATGCTTCTTTCTACTTAAGTTTTTAACTGGTGGTTAGATCGCTTTAAGATGAATGGCAAAGGTACCACATCTCAGCCAGGGTGTGATTAAACTAATTGTAAAGGCTTGAGGCAATCCCATACACTACACTTCCTCAACTCCACCATTTATTAGAAAAGAGACCAAACTTGAAGAAGCTCCAAGAAGCTGGGCAAGAGCAGCATGCAGGATTCTCTCTCAGGCTGTAATTTCTCATCCTGCTCACCTACTGCATGAGAAAGTTGGTTGCTGCACCAAAAGTCTTATTTTCAATCACCAGCATTTCCTCAACTGAATGATATTTCAAATCTTTGTAGTTTAGACAGTCTGAGGCAATAATCAACCTGCATATTAACATCTTCTCAAACAGCCAAAAGCTTGGTGATATGAGTAAATAATGAGTAAAATAATCATTTATTTTGATTTTCTGTCTTCCAAACTGCTGCTCTGAAATGCACATACATCAAAAATTTGTCAGCTGAATTTTAGGCAAAAGGGAAAATCAGCTTCATAAAAGTCAATGTGGGTGAGGCGGTTTTGACATCTACTGATAGAAAAGGGGCTAAGGAAAACAAAACACTGACAAAACAAACACAATCAATGAATTATTCACCAGTTTCAAAGAGCTACACCTCTCTGTAATCAGAGAGGAAGGAGACTTTGGAATCACTCCTGATTTGTTTGTGAAAAACCCTCCAAATACTCATAAGAACTGGCTTTATTCAGCTGCCATCAATCAGTAAATCTCAGCTCTTGAGTGTCTTACAAATGATGACAAGTTCAAGGAATGCATTTGTTTAGCGAGTTCATGCACATTACCGGTTTGGGTACTCTTCTACTCCTGTTATTTATTTACAACATAGTTGGTGGTCCCACATTAGAAGTCTGTGGGCGTTTATCGTACTCTACTTCTGAGAAACAATTAAGAATATTACAGCTAGTGAATTACAGCAACAGTGCAGCTGAATTATTTATCTTTTTTAAGTCAAAAAACTCAGTTTGCATCTGTGTAAAACAGTTTATTAGTTTGCAGTAATAAAGAAATGATGAAAATAGTTTCCAGCAGTTCACCTCTGCTGTTAACTGTAGGGCAGTGAGGCTGTAAAGGGTTAAGGCTTTACAAATGGACCCTTACTGTCCCTAAACATTTGATTGCACAGCATGGGTGAGAGCAGCTGCAGTGAAACACTTGTTATCTGTGAGCTGTTGCGAACAGGCAGTAACAACAGGCAGAAAACAAGGCCCCATAGTTGGACTTGGTGACACACTGCCCTGTCAACTCCTCATCCCACTGCTGCAATAGACTACACACACATTAACAGTCTACACCCTGAGTGTGACACACATGTACACTAAACCAGTTTCCACACAAGAATTCAGTAGGAGTCCTCCACTTCCTGCCTGAGCCACGCCCCGGTGCCTCCCTGCATTAACAGGGAATGTGACCTCGTATTACCTCTGAACCAGAGATACACACAGCACTGGGTGTGTATATATGTGTGTGTGTGTGTCCACATTTTAGATTACTAGCTGATAGTGGAGGGCATTAACATTTAGAGCATTTAGCTAATGTTGTTATCGTGAGTGTTTGCCACCCTTTGAAGCCAAGGCGACACGGTTTGATGTTCCGGAAAATCCTGTTTCTGAATGCATAGAAAACTGTTACATATCCAGGCTATATGGAGTCCATAGACTGTAATAGACTCTCTAGTCATGGGACTGAACATCAGCCATAGGCATTTATGACACAAAGATCAAATACACTTAAACACACACAGTCATGTGCTCAGAGCTCACACAGACACACCCCAGATTGCTCTCAACACCAACATAATCCTTGTCTGTCATCACCACCACCTCTGAACGCTTCCTCCTTAAAAGTGTCTCTACACAAGCAACACACCCAACAATCACAGTCTGTGTGTCATGAGAGAAAGTGAATTCACGAGTGTTTATGTAGACGAGAGGTTTTAACGAGTAATACATTCTCACACCTCGTAAATCATGACTCTAACTTCAAAAAGGGTGTCATCTAAAAATACTCCAAAACAAACCCATTTGATTTCAAATCTCTTCAAGAGCTGAGATGTAACTAGAGGCGAAGGACAGCTGAGTTCTTTGTTGGTAAAGGAGAGGGAATAACTTCTGAAAGGATCAGCTAAAATGAGTTGTACAGTTTGACAAGAACAAATAGTTTTAGTTTAAAGCAGGGCTTCATCCTGGAACTCCTGGGAAAAATCATCAGTATGATCTGTAAAGAAAAATCAGTTCACACACAGCAAGACATGGTGATAACTGATTTGGGATTTCATTTCAAATCATGTCTTAAATTTCATAATTCTCCAAATTAGGAGATCTATTATGGGAGAGACACTCACTAACACCGGTACATGATAGTACTTATGATAACAGTCTCTGTATTAGACTGAAAATTGTGGGTTTTCTGAGTAAAAAGCACCACTATTTAGATTTCAGCGATTACCTTGAATGGTTTGTTTGTTCAATGACTTCTATTCACTGAAATACTGATAATGACGATCACAAGAGCTGGAAACATTTTTACCGATTAAAACCTGTTACAGGATTTCTGTTTCCCTTTAAAAGTCCAAAGTTCACAGTGAACATAACAGAATGTAAATACTCAGGATGATTTGGACCAAACAAAAATCAAACATGAGCTAGATTTAAAAGTATGTAATAGTTCATCAACTGTGCAGCTTCTAGGTGTCCTAAACTGGTTTACAAACTATTTCAGCATCGCGGTGAATCAGGTTCAAAATGATAAGATCAGCACTGTGTATTTGCCGGGTGCAGTTGAGACGCTTGCTAATATTGATAAGTTAAATTTAGACCAATGGTCATTCAATAGTAGTCAGGAATCTCTCCAGAATACCACTACCATCATGGCAGTGAAATAGATGTTCAACCAGGCTGGTGAATGTGGTGAATGTGACATCTATGTTTATATTCCAGGAATCCCTTCTAGTCTCTAATGTTCAAATTCTATGTTTTAAGGTAAGCCGAGGATGAAGTTGTACTCACTTTTTTCACTGTTTTTGATGGTGGTTCACACAGAAACATACACATGCACCAGCACTCATGAATGGAGAAGTGTCAGAGTGAAAGGGCTGCACATGGGTGAGCACCCAGGAGGTGATCCACTGATTTGAATCTGCCACCCTCTGGTTTACAAGCCAAATCTTTACAGCTGTAGCCGCCGCTGCCTCCACTATCAGTGCTTTGTTTCAGTCAAGCAACAGAACACCTGCTGGTAAAGGCAGTTGAAATCTCTATCACCTATTGTCTCTACATCTGAAATTTGGATTGAATAGAAGAGTAGCACCTCACCGGGAAAAGAAATGGTTAACTGTGGAGAACGTTACAGTGTGAAATTTGTCATGATACATGATAAGGTATGCTTGAGTCCTGTTTTCTCACACTTTGGTGTTATTTTTCCTCTAGAGCAAATCCTCGAGAAAGATGAAGGGCCATACTATAATCACCTGGGATCTGGACCTACTGTAGCTTCCATACGAGAGCTGATGGAGACAAGGTGAGCCTTTCTCTCTCTCTCTCTCTCTCTCTCTCTCCTTTCCTTTTTTTTTTCTCTCCCTCCTACATGCTCTTGGTTTTACTGCTTCTCCCTCCTCCTCCTCCTCCTCTCTGTATCCAGCTTCCCTCCTCCTCCTCACATCATGTCCTCAGGGAATCTATGACCCAGAATCCAGTAGGAGGAACAGGAAGTATGAGCATCATCAGCATATCAGAGACAGAGCGAGGAGCATAGGAGAAGCAGCAGATGAAAGCTGAGAATGGAAGGGTTTAAAGAGTTGACAGAGAGGAAAATACAAATGAAACGACAAAGATACATAAAAGAAGAGAGGTGAAAGGCAGGGAGGATGAAAGTAATACAACTTCATCCTGGAACTTAGGGATGGTGCATTTTTCTGTGCTGATATCAATTCGGTTTATATTATGTAACATTCCTCTGGTATTAATTACAGAGAGAATTTGGCGCTGAATGACTTTTAACCATCGTGTGTGGATCACAAAAAGCTAAAACCTCAAATTTACTAAATGATCTTTCATTAAAATTGAGCTTTTGTAAGAGAAATTGATCATAAAAGTGATCGGTAATGAAATTCATGCCACATATATCATACTAACAGGACTGATAATGTAGATAATGTCATTCTTTTGCTACTTGCAAAATGTGTGAGCAATGTAAGAGCAAACTTGGTATTAAAAAGACAAATTAACATTAACTCAGAGTTCACTCCGCTTAGCATTAGATTAAAAAGGCTTATATTGATTGAAATGTGATTTAATATAGGGCTAAATAAAATAGACTCTCTTTATTAACGTTCATGGAAACAGAATTCTTATCAAGTCTAAACATTTACATTTTTCTGTTTGCATTTTTAGCAGATACAAAAAATCACAGTAGCACCTGTATAAGGTCCTTCTGTTGACATGATCCTCACTCAATCTCATTTGGTTGCTTTGCGTCAGTCTTCTTCACTTTGCTTGGTGTCTTGTTCGCTTAACTACATGTGTGATTAAACTTCCTTTGGTGTTTCTGACTGTCTCCAGTCAGCCCTTAACCGCAAATTAAAGTTTTTACTCTCAAAATAAATCAGGGTAATAGTTTAAATTTCCTCTATGTTGTCTACTGATGTTATCAGAAGTTAAAGTCTTTTCAAGAGTATTATTCATGTGTGAAGAGAGTCAACTTTGCTATTCAGAACTAACAACCGCTGTCAAGTGAATTTGACCAATCATAATTAAGTATTTAATACAGCAGGGTGTTAAGTAAGCATGTAATAAAGGACTATAACATCAACAAATATTACCACCTGATAAATGTAATGTGCACAATCTTTCAGGAAAGTAATAATAATAATAATAATAATTTTATTTATATAGCACCTTTAAAAACAGAAGTTTACAAAGTGCTTAGACAACAGTTGTAAGCACAGAGACGCAAGAGTAAACCCCCCAATGTCCCCAGCTGACCTTTGACCCACCCCTGACCCGGGCAGGCCACCCCTGTGGTGATAAGGCCTACTCCCTTCCCACTCTCTCTTCATCCACCTCAGGGTGATTCCCATTGAGGCAGAGCTCCTTGTGTTCCCTGTCACGCAGAATCTACTCAAAGCTGACCTCTTCACAATGGCAGGTATCAGGCAGGCAGGACATGTGATATGAGCAGTGAGAAGACATCTATAATAAAATAAAATGATGGTAATATAAATGATAAAGTGGAATTAAATATATATGAGAAAACCCCACCGATCTCCAGCAGGGCTGCAGAAACATACACATGAACCATCAGGACTACTAAGAAATCTCCAAACACTCCAGTATTTGCCAAAGCAGGTGTTCGCAGACACATAGAGAAAAAACACCCAAAACAAACAGAAATGTGTGCACCCAAAATAAGCTGGTGTGTGCACATGTGGACACAAACACCAGCTCCTATTCCAGAGAAAAGGCCCTTCTGTTGGCATCATGGAGAGGCTAGTGGGTTCTTGTTTACTCTGCCATACCTGTGTGAATCTCAGCAGAGCCTTGTGAACACTCCTCACCAGCCAGTGCTGCTGATGTGGGTCTGTCTCCGTCTTGGTTGCAACACAGTAAAATACTATCAACACAGACCACTGTTGGCAGAGATGAACCTGAACTGTTTCCGAACTAAATAGACAAATGCAGTTGTTGCCTCGATGAGTCAACACTTGTGATGAATTATATCAAAAAAGAAAATCACTGACTAACATCTGAGCAACTGGATGGTTTCAATCAGCCATGTATTGCTAAAAGTTTGTCCACTGAGGAACCATTGGCACTATTTGACCATTTGGCTATTTGAACATGTTTAATCTGGGCGGTCAGATGTTTACGCTCATTGAAACAGGAGGTTTTGCTTTTCCTGTGTTTACTTTCGTTGTGAGCCACATAAGACAGACACAACATAAAAACGCACGCTTACTTTGTTGGTCTTCTCTGATGTTTTTGGGTTGTGATTATTAGTACTGAGTGTTCACCCAGCTGGCTGTCAGGTGCAGTCGCAGTGATGTGACGTGTAGCTTTGAACAAAACACGCGAATCCCAAAGGGATGATGAAATGAGTTTGACTTGTCAGCTTTTTTTGGTGCGTGTTCTTTGAGGTCGTCTTGTTGGCTCTGTCACACAGAAACGTTTGTTTTTCTTACATTTTTGCTCGATGATGTAGAGTCCTAAAGTCAGGCACTTGTGCTGTTTAATTTTAGGAGGAGCTGCTCAAGTATTTTTACATAAGAAAAACTAAAAAAAACTGTCCTTCCTCTTCAGGTATGGAGAGAAAGGGGATGCCATTCGGATTGAGAAGGTGGTGTACACAGGCAAAGAGGGGAAGAGCTCACGAGGATGTCCTATTGCCAAATGGGTAAGTGGTGTCACTTTTTACATCATATTTGTCATGTGGGTGAAGTTTTCAAAGAGCCTAGAGATGTCAGTCAATCTCAGTCCATCTTCATTTAAAATCTGCCAAGACTCTTAACAAAAGAAGCTGGTCTTCTCTTGACTGTACTTTGTTTGGAAAGACGGGATAAGATTGAGCCCCATTTAGTAACATCAGATCCACTCCTATCTAATCTCCAACCACATGAGTGAAACACTTGGCAGCGTTTGTAAAGTTACAGTGGAGAGGAAGAAGAAGTTTCTTTAACAGGAAGAAACCTTGAGCAGAACCAGACACATGTTAGACAGTCATCTGCTGAGACTGCAGTGAGAGAGGTGAGATTGTTGAACACAGTTGAAGCAGATACATTTGTTTTAATGTGAGTGACTGCAACGGGACAAAGGGCAGTTTTATTTTTATTTTTTAAAATCTTGACTCTGCCTGTCAAATAGTTATTAAGTTAGCGAACTGATGATTGTGTTACACCTTAAAGAGGAGAAACAGAAAAAGGTGTCCCTTTCCGACAGCCCGTCAGTGAAAGATTTATGCAGTGTTCGTGTGTGTCTGTTCGTGTGAGTCTAATCAGGGGTCCTGCCAAGTTAGTCACTCACAATGAGCAGATCAGCAGGAGGTCCAAAACTTTAACAACTGCCCCGTCACCCCTCCCTGTGTCACCCCTGACAGACCCTGCTAATGACTTTATGGGTCCGAAATGGCCATTCTACTCGGAGAGTGCGAGTGTGGGTGATAGTGTGTGTGTGTGTGTGTGTGTTTGTGTGTGTGTTGGGACAGAGAAGTGCTGAGATAATAGAAGTGAAAGAGATCAGGCTTCCATAAATCAACTTTCTGTTATCAGTTCTTGGTGAAAAAGCTCAGGACGGATCAGATATCAAGTCATGAGATGCTTTTTTCGACTTGGATCATTTCATAGTTCAGAGTGGGCTTATCCTCTGCAATCAGCTGTTCCTTATAGGGTGTTGTTTAGTATTTGAGAAGCATTCATTATAAGGGTGACTGTTGGGTGAACAGAAAAAGCATTAGATCTGAACTATTTGTGATTTTTTTGTTGTTGTAGTTTTTTACTCACAGCTATCAAATCACATTTATCTACACTGTTTCTCCTAAGCTAAGATAATCTAACTCCTGGTTTCCTTTCAGGTGATCCGTCGTGGTAGTGAGGCAGAAAAGCTGCTGTGCCTAGTGCGCCATCGTGCGGGGCACCACTGTGCAAACGCTGTCATCATCATCCTCATTATGGCCTGGGAGGGAGTCCCGAGGTTCCTGGCTGACAGGCTGTACCGTGAGCTGAGTGACACCCTCACCAAACACGGCAACCCCACCAGCCGGCGCTGTGGCCTCAATGACGAGTGAGTATCTGAGCGAAAACCCTGTGACTTTTGTTTTCTAGAATTGAAGTCTGAGATGCTCATTTCGTAGGTTGTGTTTTCAGTGACCTCACAGTCCTCCTGGAGTCCAATGGAGAGCCTTTTTCAGCTGTTATTTCTCGGGTACTTCTGACTGATATAAAAGTATACTACAAATGTGGCTGGTTTATTATACAAAACTTAATCAGGTCAATCTCTTGTCCTAATTTTGTTCCCATGTAAGTATCTATTAAGTAGAAAAGAACTCCCGAGACATTTGTTCAAATTGAAGCCAAACACAGTGTTTGATTAGAGAAAAATATAAGTCGCACCCTCTTTTCAGTAGCTTCAGTGTAGCCACCATTCTTCTTTCAATATAATGTATGCATACTGTATGTTTGAGGGTTTAACATGATTCGCTCGGCTCTTAATCTTCATTTCCTTGTCAGCTTTTTCTCTCTGTTGAATCAGGATATCCTTCACAGCAATGGTCATACAGTATACATGTGATATCGGGCATGTGCAGGTTACACACCACTGATCCATTCAGCTCAGAGTCTGCCCTTTCTCTCGCCCCGCAGTCGCACCTGTGCATGCCAAGGAAAAAACCCTGAATATTGTGGTGCTTCCTTCTCCTTCGGCTGCTCCTGGAGCATGTACTTTAATGGCTGCAAGTACGCTCGTAGTAAAACTCCGCGCAAGTTCAGGCTACAAGGAGATCACCCCGAAGAGGTACTAGCTTTGTCAGAGACACCAGTTTTTCAGCATTGAAGAGGATTATGTTCATGTGAATAATTCTGCATATTTCTTTAAGCTCTGTTCTCTCTATAGATCTGTGTTAAGTCATAACTTTTCAATGATATTTTTGCTTTTTAGGAGGAAAAACTCAGGGATAACTTACAGAATCTGGCAACTGAGGTGGCTCCTTTGTACAAGCGACTGGCTCCACAGGCTTATAGTAACCAGGTTAGTTGTGCACAGAGTGCGTGCCTCAATTTTGGTGATTGTATGTCTTTCTCAAGAGAAGTGCGGGCAAATAAACTCACCTCTGTTCTCTTCATCAGTGTCAGTCAGAGTCAAAAGCCCCAGACTGCAGGCTTGGCTTGAAGGAAGGCCGACCTTTCTCTGGAGTCACGGCCTGCATGGATTTTTGTGCCCATGCCCATAAAGATCAACACAATCTCTACAACGGTTGCACAGTGGTGAGATATCCCCATCATGCTGTTTAATTTATGTTTTTGTGAAAGCAACTGATATTTTTGTTGTTGTTTTTTGATTAATAAGTCCACGTAAACAACAGTAAAAGTGTTTTCTTTCCTGTGAAAGAGAGAGGTGACCATCCTGGTCTAATTTTTCCAGCCCTCAGTCAGGAGTGACGGGTGTTTTCATGAACAGCACTTTTTGAACTTGTCATTTTCTATTGCAATTCAAACATTATGCTAATGAAGAAGCGGCGCTGTTTAGTAATCAGTGCAGCGCAGATGTAAAGATGCTGAGAGACGTGAAAAGTTTTCAGCAGAGCATGAGCTGACTTACCGCTGGTGTAGATATCCATGTCAATGATTGTGGCTACGAATGAAAGATGAAATACATAAATCTGCTCCTCTGATCATATTCATGGTATTACAATCCTAATCCCGCGGTTTGTGCACAGAGAACCACTCTTGTCTTGTGTTGTCATAAAAAAAGTCCACAACTCACCTCCCTCTGCCTTTCTCCATTTATTAGGTGTGCACTTTAACAAAGGAGGACAACCGCAAAGTGAAGGAGATCCCTGAGGATGAGCAGCTCCACGTATTGCCCCTGTACAAGGTATCCTTGACTGATGAGTTTGGCAGCGAAGAGGCCCAGCGCCTGAAGATGCAGACAGGAGCCATCCAGGTGCTTCAAGCTTTCCGCCGTGAGGTACGCAAATTGCCTGAACCCGCCAAGTCTTGCAGACAGCGCCGACTAGAGGCCAAGAAGGCAACAATGGAGAAGAAGAAAATCAAACTCATGCAGCAGACAGGGGAGACGCCGGAGAAAAATGGGGTCAAGGCTGAAGCCTGCATCATTGGTTCCCCTCAACCCCAAGGCAATAAAGGTAACTGTTGTTTTTGTCTCTCTGTGTATTTTACTTTATCAACAGATGTGTGGGCTGTAAAGCATGTGACTCTAAAATAACTAGGGGCTTCACCTGTGGCCTTTTCTGCTGATCTGAAATGCATTTTAAACAGTTACAACCCAAAGTCAGAGTGTTTGACCTTGAGACATACTGAATATGAGGATGCATTTGAAGTTCATTTGGTGTAATAATATTTTCTTTGTTTCAATTATTCAGCAATTATAAAACAAGAAGTGAAGCCTAACATCAAGAAGGAGCCCTTTAATGGATCAATAGATGGATACCCCGTGCAGGCAGCAGACCCTTTCAACAACATCTATCCACACCCTGCCTACTATGCAAGGGGAGGCCTTCCCCAGACTGGCCAGCCCTCTGCACCAGACCCAGTCAACGGTTACCATCACAATCTGCACTATGGCTACTACAACTATCCCCCCAATGCACTTTTCCCCCCAAAGCTGAGGACCTACGAGGGTCGAAATAGCTCTGTCCTCAAAGCAGGCAGCAAGGCTGACCCCGGAGAAATGAAACCTGATCTTCAGAGCCTTCAGGCCAGGTTGGCCCAGTCCTACCCCAATCACCCAGAGCAAGCCAACCAGCTTAACCACAGCGCTTATCCCCTGCCTGCAGACTACAACCAATCCCGTCCTTCCTCGGTCTCCTCTGAAACCTCCAACAGGGGCACTCCGGTCATCAAACAGGAGCCTATGGATGTTCCAGTTTATGACGGCAAAATGCCAAACCAAGCTGGTGCTAACACACCTAGCACTACCCCCCAGCCTGCAGCCTGGCCAGGGAACAAGCTTAATGGCAGCATCGTTCCAACCCACTGGGAAGGCCATTTGAACCCCAAACCAAGTCCTGAAGCGTCATTGTTGAACCCAAACAAGCAGCAGTTTCACCAGCATCCTCAGCAGAGGCAGCCCTTGTCTTACCCCCAGCAGTGGACATCATACCCTGGCTCCAATGCCCTGATGGCCTCCCCTGCCCCATCACCATCACTACAAGTATCTCCCTCTCCATCTCCGTCCCCTCACCTAGGCACAGCGCTCCCAGGTAACATGCACCAAGGGTCCCCACGCCCTGCCACCCCACGCCCAAGCACCCCTCACCCAGGTACACCACAGCCGGGTTGCTCTTACTCAGGCTCAGTCACGCCGCAGCCAAGCACCCCCGGCCCAGGCACCCCAGGCCCAGGCACTCCAAGGCACTGGCCCAGTCCTGCTCCAAGTCCTCAGCCGAATGCTTGGGCCATGGGGCCTGTGCCATATAGTCCTGGTTTGAAGCACAGCCATCCCGCAGGAGCCTACCCAGACAAGATCTGGTCCAAGACAGGGGAAAGTCGTTGTTCTACTCCTCTTGGGCTCCAGGAAAAGGCATGGAAGTCGTGTGGGGGCTCGGTGGCAGGCAGTACACCTTCCCCTGCCCCTGAGGGTCGCCTTTTCCCTGACGCCCTGCAGCAGTCAGATCAGGCCTGCTGGAACCCTGGCCAAGCTGAGGGGAACGTTGAGAGCACTAAGGCAGAGGTAGATGACGATGAGGTTTGGTCTGACAGCGAGCACAACTTCTTGGATCCCAACATTGGTGGTGTAGCAGTAGCACCAGCACACGGTTCCATCTTGATTGAATGTGCCCGTCGGGAACTACATGCTACCACTCCACTCAAAAAGCCCGATCGCTCTCATCCCACCCGCATCTCCCTGGTCTTCTACCAGCACAAGAACCTTAACCAGCCCCTGCACGGCCTGGCTCTGTGGGAGGCCAAAATGAAGCTGTTGGCAGAGCGAGCGCTGCAGAGGCAACAGGAAGCCGCTCTCCTCGGCCTCTCCCAAGAAGACATCAAGGCTCTTGGGAAGAAACGCAAATGGGGGGCTACAGCGGCAGGTGCCAGTCCAGGACCTGGACAATCTAAAGACAAGAGGGAGGGGCCAATGACACGATTAGCCCCCACTTTCCACACCACCTCTATAGTTAATGTGTCTCCCTATGCCTTCACCCGCCTCACTGGGCCCTACAGCCACTTCGTCTGAGGTCAGACAGACACAAACAGACTGAAAGCTACAGGGTGGTGTAGTGGAGGGCTGGAGAGAGCGATGAGCAGGATGAATGTCTGTCAGCCATCCCGCAGTCTGGCATCTCTCCATCCTGCCCCCTCCGCAGTCCACTCGGAGGAGGGGACATTTTTATTGTTTTTACCTCATGTCAGGCAGTGGTTTGGGCTTCAAACACACTGCCTGTGGTGCTCTTCCTCTCTTTTGCCTGGAGAGGAACTCCATTGCTTTTTCTTGTTTATAGAATTTTAATGATTCTAATTATTACTATTATTATCAATATTATTATGATTGCTATTGTTACTGTCAATGTTGTTATTGCAGGTATTATTATAATGAAGACTTGTTTGTTTTTTTTTATTATTGCTGTTTTCATTAATGTTATTATTAATGATGTGATTGTTTTTCGGTTATATATTTTTTTTAATCAATCAGTCTGTGTCAGTCAGACTCAGACATGTTCTGCTTTTTCCATGTTTGGAAAATGTCTACCCTTTTTTGGTTTGATTTCGTTTGTTCTTGTCAATCTTCCAGCTGTACTCAGAGGAGGAGCGATCATCAATCAGGCAAAAAAGCACATTTCTATAATCGTTTGTACACACAGAGGCTTGTCTTAGATATATATCGCTATATACTGACAGTATAAAGATGTGTACCTTGACTTTTAAAAGATTAGACATACTTAAAGGAGGATTACAATCATTTTTCACCAGGGCATTGACGATCCTTTTTCCAGGAGAGTCAGGTCGCTGTCTAAAGTGTCGATAAAAATAGAAATTGATAGTTTGCAAATCATTCAATCCCTATATTTAACTGAACACAGATTGCAAACACTCTTTATTTTTTTAGGAGTTTTTAAACTTTAACATTAAATCAAATGTTGAAACTGAACTATCAATTGTTTTATGAACGTGTGCGCTCTTTTTAACAGAGGGGACAACAAAACACTGGAAAAGTTTTGTACACTTGGAGAAAAATCCCTCAACGAATCAGGAAAATTTACCAGAATCATGTTTATCTGCATGGAATTGCAAATAGAGAGAATTTATTATCTAAAATATGTAATATTAAGAGGTTCAGAGCTTTTGAATCAACATTTCAAACTTTTCCTCCGGGTTCTCGAACCTTTTAAAGAGAAGAAAAAACAAGAAGAGGTGATACAACACAAGGTTAATCATGTCCCTGCCTCATCTGATTTAAAACATAATGCCGCCATCACATTATGAAATTACATGCTTCAAAATCTAATATTATGTCTTTGCAGAATTTTGCTTTGAAATGATTTGCAGACAATCTAAATCTGTTTTTTATGAACATTTATCAAAACGTCTAGACGCTCGTGGAATCAGGGTTTTATTTCCTTGTCATTGCCGTATTAGAATTGTGTTTAACGGACATTTCTTGGTTAAACGTTAATCTAGTTTACCAGCAGCACTGCTGTCTAACACACCAAAGACAGTCCCCCTGTACTGGAACCAGCCAACACCCATTTAAATTATTCATAATACTGGAACAGATACCGTCATTTTATATTTTTAATTAACTAAAGTATACACAGATTTGCTGTACCTGCATGAGTTTTACTGCATGAGATAGAAACGTAAAATAACCCTAAAAAAAGAGCTTTTTTTGGGAGAGTACAGCTGAAGAGCAGAGCCGAGTTACCGCTCTGTGTTTTTTTTGTGACTTTGTCGAGTCAATAAAACTCTGAAGTCTTAAACAAACACAAGCACTAAGATCAAAATGCTCCGAATGTAACGACGCCCAGCTCTCAAATAATTGTAACTGCCGTTTGAAGAAAGAGAAAGTCATGCTTGTCTTTTCCTGTCTGATGATGGTGACGCTCCTCCTCCAGTTCTGCACCCCTTCACCTTTCAACTGGTGCTCAACTTCCAGCCCTGAATGATTCTCATTCTGCTTCTTTTCATGGCACTTGATGCTGTACTTAGGTGCTCTAACTAAAATCTGGCTCAACTAGTATTAGCAAGTATCTATCTTTGTTTTGACTGAGGTGGAGTACCTGATGGGGATGATTGGATTTTGCTTTATAAAGATACAGGTGCGGGCCATTTCTCATGCAAAGAAATGTATAATGAATTATTGTATGGATGCTTTTCTTTGCCATGTTTTCCTGTTTGGGAAACTCTACATATCTGGTACTTTGCAGAGGTTAAAATAAGTGATACTATTTGCAAATGTCATTTGACCCAGAGCTGCAAATACCACAAAGAGCTGAAACAGATGGCAACTTTATCTTCCTTTAACATACTAAGTAGGGATGAGCACTTACCCAATGTAAACTCAAGAGGGCAGCATTGGCTCTGTTTCAAGAAACCTGCAAGATCCATTCTGAAGCCAGTCGAGCCTTGCCTTGCTGTAATAACTGTCCATGGCCAGTAGAGGGGGGTCTCTGACTCCGTCTGCTCACCATGGACGGGTCACTCCAAAGTGGCTCATGGCAAAGCTGATCTTTGTCTCATTGTGGCTCAAATGTGAATGACAGGAGATGGAGATGCTTTCGCGAAGCTCGTCCTCGGTTATAGCAGAAAGAAACTGTTTGGTGCTCTTACACACACTCTGGTGCTGTACTATTACACTTGATTACTGGTGAAGGGCCCGCCGCTTCCTCTGCATGGTGCTGTCATCTTCAGGCAGAGAGAGGCGCGTCCTTCCGCAGGCACCTTGTCACCACAGAGCCCGTATGGGGCTGCTGTGCTGAAGCTCATTGGACTCAAGAACCGGTTCCATTTGAGGTGTTTTTGCAGTTTTTTGTGACAAATGCATTCTGTCTCAGAGTACACTGTTTGGGGCAGAGAAAGCACAGTCATTCAGTACATTTACACCCCATTCATAGGTAAAAAAAAAAATCTAGTACTGAGAGTCAAAGGGAGACCTTGGGAAAGTCCGGGAGTTGGCGCCAAATGCAGATACATTCAATCAAAGAATCTCTCACTTTGTGTGTTTGTGTGTGTGAGTGAGTGTGTGTGTGGTGAGATGAGGTGGGTGCATGAAAGAGAAGAGCCAAAGAGAGAGACTATTTGATAACCTGGAAAGAGTCCTGTACATCATTTTTATTTTCTCTCCATCGGGGATGAAATGATTCGATTGATTCACCTCAGATGGTTTCACGGTCACTTGTCACGCGTGTCGAAGATAAAAATGATTCACTACAGGAACTCGACTCGGGCTCACTCCTGGATACTGGGTGGTTAGTTAGGTCAGGCCCTGGTCATCTGTGAAAGACCCTGTTACCTCTCCTGAGGGTCTCCAGCTCTCTACCTCACGCTGTAGAGACACTGGTCACAATCACAACTTGCTACTGAGGGCAGAGAATCATGCGTATGTCCTTTTGTGTGCTCTGGATCTCCACACTCATTTTAACCTGCTTTTTTACTCTTATTTATTACTACATGGTGATGATGATGATGATGATGATTGTCTTTGATGTTTTTTGTTTTTTTTTTCATCTTTTTTATATAGCTAATACAAATTGTACATAGAGAAGAAAAGATTTATAAAAGCACTTTTAATCTTGATTTTAATGACAAAAAGAAAGAGCCGATTATTGACAACTTGAAGCTTAGGTTTTTGTTTCTTCTTTTTGTTTGTTTTGTTTTGTTTTTTTCTCAAGAGAGAGATAAGAAATGTAAATATTAAAATATTTAGGTAAGATTATTTAACTGGTGAGGATAGTAACTAAACCATGAATGACAATGGGGTATTTGAAAGTCTTTGACAGCCCTCAACAACAGCAAACAACACTTGATCCCGATGTGTTGGGTAGAATCGTGTGCTCAGTTACACTGCTGTTTTGCTTTTATTGAGTACTGTAGCCTTTGTCGGTGTATAGCTGACAGAGACCTGTCACTTTATAAAAACAAATTTATTTGCCCAGTTATGTAACATAAACCCACACCTCACTGAAATCTGTCATGATAAATCTAGATGATGGATTGCTCTGGTGAAAACCCCACATCTACGAAAGTATGAATATTAGAGTCTGAACAAAGCTTATCCGCCTGACAGCACTCAACAAACCAAGACAAACTCTCTCATCAATCCTTGATGGCAATATTACAGTCCAGTTGAGCTTGAAATTGACCAAAACTGTTATTTTATGGTACGAAACAACAGTGATCAACTATCAGCAAGCTAAGGACAAATCTAAGACGGAGCCTCGAACCCGACATGTGCTGCTTGAGGACTGATGCCCAATCAGAGCAGCTGAGGCTTCTTAGATTAGCATTACGACTGGATGCAAAACCAGAGCTGACAAAGCTCTCTTAATTTGCCCGAAATCAGGAGTCCAGACATGTTAATGTTGGTTTTATTTTGGTCATAGTACATTGACAAAGGCAGCAGTGACCACACAAAGTCAACGCTTCCAGCAAAGACATGATCCGGCATGTAAAATACATATATGAATTTCTTTAAAGGAGTTGAATAAGCAAGCTTCGGGGCGCTGGTAGTCAGATATACTGTTTTTGGCCGCGGGTATTTTTCCTAATTGTAACCAAGCAAAGGTAATAGACATCTGTCCCTGTTTCACATGTACAATGTTTCCTTAAATATCAACAGAGTTGCCATCAAATCCAGAACTTACTTTTGTCAGCTGTGTTCGACTATCAGGTGAAAAGATTACCTCCCAGCTTGATTAAATGTATCTATCATTATTACCTGCTCTAGTTCTCATAATAGTCAGAATGCACTTGGTCTATAAGAATCATAATCCCCCCAATCGTTTGATTTCTCACATGTAGAGGTTCGACTGGTGCATCAAGAGGGCCCACTTCCTTAAAAACCATACTGCACGGCCCACATTCAACACACACACACATACATACACACACACACACACACATCTAACAACGGGTGCTGAGGATAAAGTTAATGTGCTATCTTAATAACTTTGTACATTTCTAAATGTCTCACAGGTTTGGTGGATGGTTCTCATGAAAAGCGACACCTCCCGGGCACATACGGAGAAGGGAGGTTGTTCAGCTGGTGCTATGAAGCTACACCTTAAAAACTCACTGTGTAAAAACAACGATAAAAAAAAAAGAGAGGGATAAATGGTCACCACAAATATTTTTCTGAGCTCTTCGAATGTCAAGAGATCTATACTTTAGATTTACGCAGTTTACGGGAAGCTGCCTTGGTGCTGACTTTAGGACAAGTCTTTTGTTACAACGCTAAACACAAAACGTCATCTCTATCCGAGGGCAGGGGGCGCTCTAACAGTTCATTCTCAACCAATATTCATTCCATATTGTACTTGAACTCATTAAAACTAGAGTGAGATAACAGAAGACTGTTAACTGGCTTTCACGTAATCCTTTTGAGTTTGTTGTACATGTTCACGGTAACTGAACGCTAAGATATTTGAACAAAACCAGAAAAGAAAGAAATTCATGTACTGCCTCCCTCTCCCTCTCCCTCTCCCCAGACACGCACTTCCTTAACTCGACCCCTTTTTTCTCTTATCACCTTGTATAGTTTGTCTTACTCACACAAACACATGAATACACATTTGCATCTCACAGTGTGTGGCCCACCTTTTAAACACCCTATATAACGGACACTTCCAAATTTGTGATATCGACTTAGACCCTGGCCCATACAAAAAAAAAAAAAAGAAAAAGAAAAAATGATGGAAATGAACCTACACAACTGGCAGCTACATTCCTTTTTGAGTTCTAGGATTGTTCTTGGTTCTTTATTTTCATGTCAAGGATGCAGTATGTAAAAAAAGTGTTTTTGTTCAGTCTCTCTCTCTCTTTGTAGCTGTATGGTGTATTATGTGAATACATAGTGTATGTGGTAAAAACCCCACAATATTGTTTTATGTTGCGCGATAAATAAAGACATTGAAGTGAAATCGAGTTTGTGACGTGACTTTTTTTTTTTGTCTTGACTTCTGTCTGTCTTTTGCAATTTGAGACATCTTATTTATCGAGTCTACGTAATATGGACCAAATTTAAATCTAGAAGTTCAGCATGCATGCCCTCCTTCTGCTGCAGGGGACGCTAGTTTCAGTAGGGTGACCATGCGTCCTCTTTTACCCACACAGGTCCTCTTTTTTGGGGGCTGTCCTGCCTTGTCCGGGGGAGTTTATAAAATCCTTCAAATGTCTGCGGTTTTATACGCAAGTTTTGAGTTTGTGTTGTGTGGACTTACTGATTTAGAAGCCTGTAAAAAACACTCAACCTGACCCGAAAAACTCAAAAATTACTATGTGCTACTCCGTGACTCCACGTAGTCTTGTCGTCTTTTTGGGGATTCAGAATATGGTCACCTGTGTGTAAGAGAGGGAGTGTGCGAAGTGGAACTCCTGAAAAGTGCAGATACTGTCACCTTAATATCAGAAGGTGATCAAGAGAGTCAAGTCAAATTTCCCCTTTTTCCTGATCAACAGAGGACACTGTGGACAACTCAGCTTGGTTTAATTTCCTTTTATTGTAGATGGTAACCAGTAGCAGAAGCAGCTTGATAACCTCAAAGGAAATAAATGAAATGAGTCTGTCATTAAGTCGGCACAAATAAATTAACTCATCAGTACTAATTTCAAAAAAGGGTTATTAAATTTAAGAATTAAACAAATTAAATGCATGGGTAAACTATCAATTTTTAAAATGTTTTAAATCATTCCAATTCATTTTAAAATAAATTTGTTTTTTTAACTGTTTAAAATTATTTTAAATTATGCTAAATACTTTATATGTAATTAATTTTAACTCAGACTCAACATTGAATTCTACAGTAGATCTAAAATCAAATCTATCACTATGACGGTTTGCATAAATTTAAACAACAACTAGAAACAACAAGGAAACAACTATATTAGTTTTAACATATTTTAAGTGCACAGGGCTTAGATTATTAATAAACTCATCTCAACCTCTCCATCCCTAAATTAAAGTTATTTTTTCTGTTGATTTGATTTAAATTAAGATTTTCTCACCACTGGCGTCTCTGAGGTCTCCTGCAGTGATGCCACCAAACACTGTCTCTGTGTTGGGTTTAAAACCTGCAACAAATGACTGAAAACACATGAAGAAGAGAAAGACAATGGTTTAGATTTCTTACTCGAGGAGAATGGGCAGAGATAGTTTCAGTTACAATCTCAAAACCATTCTGAAGGTATTTCTGTCCAGTCTCTTTTTATTTAGGGTTGTCCCTGGTTACACAATGCTACTAAAGGATGGGGGGAAAAACTATCTGCAGCTACGTAAGCACTCTCATAAAACATAATTATGAACGACAGATAATATGTGAGGGTCAAGGCGACATTGTTGACATCAAACAAGCTCCTTCTGATAGGAGCGGATCCTCCTTATTACTTCCCACGATTCACAAAGGAGGTTACAACACACACACACACCTGCTGATAGAAGAAACAAGGTCAGAGAAGTGAAGAAACACTCGTGCTTTGTAAGAGAGAAGTTAGAAAACACTCTTATATGATGTGTAACAAGAGGTTCAAACAGTTCATACTTGTAGCAAACTCTTCATAAGAATTCGAGTAAGATGATAACTTCTATATACATTTATACACATTATTTTGACACTCTGTAACAAAGGGTGACACACCTGTCCCTGAGCCTCTTTAATGCCTCTGCCTACCATCCCTCACTCTACCTGCACTTCACCTGCCCTGCTGTGACTCTCCAGTGGGAGGGACAAACCTCTGAAACATAAACCTAAACAGTCACATAAATTATCTCTACACAAAAAAAAAAAAAAAAAAAAATCTCTCAAGACTGTAATGACAAGAGTATAAAGTTAAAAAGTTAAGATAAAGAATAAAAGCAGTCTCAGTCAAGGTTTCAGATCACTCTTGTAACTCAGTGCAGCATTAGTTCAAATAATGAATCTAAAAGTCCAGAGTATAAAGTTCACTTCGTTGTATGTCTCCAGATTTCTGCCTGTTCAATATGAATCCGTCCTTGTTGCAGCCGCCGACAAGGACAACTGGATCTCATTCAGTCGCTGCGGATTGTTATCGATAGCACGACCTGCGCTGTATAGAAGCTGACCTCAGATAATTTTTCTTGGGAGTCTGAACTGACTCGACTGCCTCTCCTCTTTCTTGTCCTCTCCATTAGTCTACCTACGCTTATGCTGTCAGCCAAACAAGAGCTGAACCAATTTAAAGAGAGAAGGAGCTTTTTTCTCCGAATACAACAATGTGCATCAAGATTTCTGTAATCTCAGAGAGCTCTCTGCGCTGACCCCTGTGTGACGCCTACATCATAAGTCAAGGTCTCAAAGTGTGTGAGAGGCTGTGCCCTCGGTCAGTCCACATGCTCTGTGCTGTATCAACACATCCCAGAGAGAGAACATACTCGTCTCAAGTGTGGCCTGAAAAACTTATTTCTAATTAAGCTTTAAGAAACACGTGAACAGAGACAACGTGACTGTTGCTCCAAGGAGGCGTAGTGTCGTCGAGGTACTGTCAATAACTAAACCTCACATGTACAAGGAGCTAATATGTGGTGTGACTGAGCTTCCAGCAGAGCAGCTGATGGAGACATGGAATAAAAGATGGTATGGATTAAGATGTCAAACTCTGATCGTGCTCAGGGTAAGCTTTGGTGCCAGCTAACCCTAACCCTGAAATCCTGGGGAGCAAATTTTAGTAGAGGTTTGCAGCAGAGTAACACTCTAGAACAGTCTCCCTGTCCTGGAGCTGATATCCAAGCTGCAAAAAATCTACGTCTGCAGAAGAAAGTCCTGCTGGAAACACATAAATCCTCATTGCTGAGTGTCAGAGAACAAACCACAAAGTGAAACTGAACTGAAGGTCCACTCGTCCTCATTCAACAAACGGCCCTCAATGTGCCTTAAGTCCACCTAAATTTCATGTCTGAAAACGCACCCGTCATAAACACAAGTCCTACTGAAGATATCTAGAAAAGGTAGATCTTCGTTTTCTTTAAACTGAGCGAACCAAACTAAAACAGATTACCTGATCATGGAAAGGAGAGTGGTGTTTTTCTCCTAATCAGGATCATTTTTAACTTGATCTGATTTTTTTTTTAATCAGCTGGGCTACAACAATAAAGAAACAACAGGGAAGGGGAACTAACAGTGACGGGGTTAGACTGCAGCTACAGAGAGACCAGCATGAAGTTAACAACATACAGCACTCCTTTGTGCCAATTAGAGCAATTTGAGGTGGACAAGGTGAACAGCACAATGGCTCCTCTTGTGAAAAAGAACACCTTTAGAAAAAGCACAATGTCTACCTTTGGCATTACAATAGGAGCTGTCAGCTCGTAAAGGACCTTGAGAATAAAACTGACTCAATATTCTCAGAGGAAAGCTAATTTGTATTGCAGTTTGTGAGCACATGACAAACCATTTTCCCTACTCTGCTGCATTTCCGTAATTATTAGATATATTAATCCTTTCTACCTTGAGCAAGTTCCTGACATATCAATACTGCCTAAGGCCATTTTCTTTGACAGCGTATTCCTATGTTATCTAATGTCAGCAGCCCTGAAAGAGCAACTTTGGTGTCCATTAACCAGGGCCCTATTTTTCCACATGAAGATATACTATCATTGAAGTTACTGTGCTGTGTGACCTGCATTAATTCATGAAATCATCATTACAAGCCCAAAAAGACCTGCAGCTTAACTTTCATTACTTTTCGACTCATTACATGCAGACGTTTTAAACACCTCTGGCTCTAGTTCTGCTGTGAGTTTAACATTCAACTGCACTTAGAAAAGAGGATAAGGTCCACAAGAAGAGAAAAAGGTAATTACAGGACAGGCCTGTTTTATTCCTCTATCAATATTGAATGTTGAAGAGGTTCCATGTTGTAGTTTTACTGAGCTGTTGCATCCCTTGTACATAGTTCCAATGATATTGATTGATCGTTCTCCAAATCCAGTGTTTTTACTGGGTTTTACCAGGTCAATGTGAATTATTTAAGCCAGTGTTTAAATAATAAAAGGGTGAACAGTTTTCCTGAACATGTCAAAATCCTGTCTCAGTGGCTCAGAGGATAAGAAGACTGACTAGGACACCTGAGGTTCTGGGTTCAAGCCTTATCATGGGTGAGGTGAATTTTAAAGTCCAGTGTCTAGAAAGGAGAGTGAAAGAGGAAGCAAACACAGTACTCCTGTGTGTCCACGTGGACACAGGAGACTGTCTTGGACTTTGTGCCTCATAACCCCCCTGTATTACCTCTCCGGAAACACCGGGGAGAAACCCCACCCCCCGGGCCTGGTTCTCCAGGATTTGCTTCAGGATCTCCTTTGTGTCGAGCGGGTATCGAACCAGGGCTGCCCGCTTGACTCGCATTTGGGTGTCAGTTGTATACCGCGCTGCGCCTAGCTTGGTACTTTGGCTCCTGGACTTTAAAATTGGTCCCAGTCAGTCTCCTTATCCTCTGAGCTATGTAAACACACATGAGAATTCCAGTTTTCTCCTATTTCACTCTCCTTTGTAGACACTAGACTTTTAAAATTCACCTGAACTTGGGTAAGGTAAGGCTTGAACTCACGACCTCAGGAGTCCAAGTCCATCCACTTATCCTCTGAGCCATGTGGACACACAGGAGTATTGTGTTTGTTTCCTCTTTCACTCTCCTCAATCAAGTCCACATATGTAGGTTCCATTAAAAACTACAAACTTTTCCCAAGATCAAACAAAATGAGTCTCAAATGAGATTACACAAGGGCACATCATCCTCCCTTGGGAGAAATCCTCCTCTCCTTTATAGACACCTCGATCTCCAACCTACGTATCAGAGAGTGTAGCAAGTACCTAAAAGGGGAGCTCAAGATCTCTCTTGTATCAAAGAAATCAAATAAAACTCCTAACCACTGCCTTAGACCACATACTTAGACCTCCTAAAAAAATGCTAAGTACAAACAAAGAAAAACTACTCACAAAAGGAAAAAAAAAAACACAGTTGGTCTTGAAAGAAAAGAAGAGAGACAATTAGTTTGTCACAATTAACCCAACAAAAGACAGAAATCTGTGCTGAGGATGTCAAACTGGACTGTGGTGAGAGCTCAGAGAAGCTCTTAGGCTTCTTCACTCATCAAGGTGTTGTTTTTTCAACGTGATGTCTTTTGAAATAGTGAAAACATTAAATTAAATTCAGTGGAATAATACAGTCATTATTTGGCGCAGGGCAGTTTTGTGTAGAAACAGCAACCTCTGGTGGACAGTTATATTTGATCAAGTTTTCTTTTTTCTTAGAAACCTCCAGAGTTGACAGGGGAAAAGGGAAAGGACAGTGAGCTTCAACACACCTGAGCAGTTGAGTTGATAAGACACAGGGAGGACAGCTCATGACGTTCAGGGGAGCAGGTAAAAAACAGAAACACAAGATTAAGAATTCAGCTATTCAACAAATCAGATAGTTGAATATCTGATGTCGTGTCGAGACAATCTCGACACGGTACCAACCTTTTCAAGGTCCAAAGCTGACAATGTGACACTCTTGACATTTTACCAAGTCCTTGCAGACAAAAGCTGAGACAGATAAAGCAAAACAAAAAGAAAAGAAATGCCACAGAATTAATCAAACTGTGGAGAGTGGGTGGAGATCAGTGGCGATTGCTCTAAGACTGCAAGGGAAGCTCAGCTTCCCTTAAAATGTCACCCCCCAAAAAAAAGAAAAAGTGGTGAAATACGTACTGCTGTGTGTACATTTCATTACCTAAATACGCGCCAGAAAGCCTTCATCTTTTTTTCAACTTCGTTCTCATTCATCCTCGCAGCGCCTCAGCGCTTCACACAGCCGGACGCTCGGCGTCTGCTGACTTCAATGTGGAAGCTCAAAGTGGGTTGTTCCAGCAGCAAAACTAGACGCTCATTGGATAAATGCTGGGCTTTGTCCCGCCCATCGGACGCTCAGCTTCTCTGGAGTTCGGAACGACAGTTATCAATCAATCAATCAATCAATCAATCAAACTTTATTTTTAGAGCACTTTTCCTACAGGAATGTGACTCAAAGTGCTTTACAGTCTTGTTAAAAACAAAAAAACAAAACAAATCAAACAAAAAACTATCCTAGATGCCCCCTTACACCCCACCCCCCACACGCACTCACACGCACGCACACACGCCAGTGCACCTGCACATACACAAATTGAGAGAATGGGCATGAGGCTGAGAACCAGTTGAGAAGGCGCCATCAGAGGAGCCGTCAGCACCAGGAGCAGAGAGCCGCCCGCAGCCACAGGACACCATCACAGTGCCAGTGGAGGGATGTGTCAGACAAGAACCTCCACCAGGAACCCCCGTGGCCGGCCCCTGCAACCACATGCGACCACCGCTCCCGGTGCCGAGGGTTCCCTCGGAGGAAACACTGGGGGTCCTAAAAATGATAAAAGGATTAAAAAAAAGTAAAAACTAAAAGATGAATAAAACACAGACCTAAAATAAACTTAGGCCAACTAGAATAAATGAAAATAAAACAAATAAATATCAATTAAAAGCTAAGCAAAAAAGGTTATGATAGCAGGATATGGTGTAAGGGTAAAAAAACAAAAACAAACAGAAGCTGCAATCAGAAGGAGACAGAGGATACTGACAGGTTAAAGCCATCTGCTGTTAAACAGTGAAGTTCACAGACTGTCCTTGGAAACAAAGACTGTTAATGAAAAATCTAAAGTGAGGAGGCATGGTGTCTTCTGGGCTGGTAATCAAGGTTCCTGCAGACGCTGATCAGCCCAGGGAGGGAACTCAGGATTAAGCTTCGGCGTGTTTCCAAGTGAGATCTTTTTTTTTTCTCTTTCTTTTTTCTTAAACTCTCAGTCAGTAAAAAATCAATATGAACTGGCTGATGGGTCTGATAACACCAGGCTACACAATCAGTGTTTCTCCACAGGTTGTCTTTGCTGCACATACCAAGCAGTCCTATCTCACATCGATCTAAAATTTCAGTCTCCCAGATCCCACCTACAGAGGGCAGTGCTGTCACCCCACATTTATTATACGGAGCCAGATATTATCACAAGGCAATTTAGAAAAGAAGAGCAAGTCAAGATCATAATCATTGTAACATTAATAACAAAGAACCATATATATATATAGAGAGAGATTTAGATATCGATATTGATAGATAGCATGAATATAGCTGTCAGGCTTTGATGCAGATAAAATTTGCCAAGGAAATCTGATCTCTGCATTTCAATGGATGCACACAAAGCAGCTCTATCAACAGCCTTGCAGACCACACCAGTCCCCCATCACTTGCGTAGAATGACATTCAGCACTTGACAGGTGGAAATGCATGAAGATGGAAAGCTCACATACCTCTTTAACGAACTAGCCTTGACGGTGATGGTGAAGTGGTTCTCCGAATGACGAGCTGATTGCAGTTTGAGTCAAAGAAGCAATTACTGCAAATTTCTTTCTTGTTGTTTTAACATTTAGAATTTATTTTGTACCAAGATGAAGCCTCAGAGGCCAGAAGAAAGAGGGTTTCACATCACTTCACTGTGGAGGGCTGTTTGAAGGGATAGATGACCAAAAGAAAAGTGGGATCCGACCCTCCATCAGAGGTGTAAAAGGAGGTGCAGGCCTTAATGGTCAGGTTAAGTGGGACATTCAAGAGCAGCCTGAGTGCAGCTTCTTGAATATCATTCAGTGTTGGACAATCGAGGACAGATCCAACTCAAAAGTCACTCGAAAGCGTACAGGATCAGTGTAATTTCACAGGAGTTCAAATGAGGCTTTTTCGGTGTGAAATTTTTTCTCTGTTTGTGTCTTATTTCAGGCATGAAAATGGGTCAGGGGTTGAAAAGGTGAGAAGCGGGGGGGAGTATAATAATCTCTTAAATACAACAGAGTATGAGGGCCACATTAAGACAAAAAACATTTTTGAATCTTAGACAATAAAGTTATTATTTAGGAGAATAAAGTCAATAATATATAAGAATAAAGTCGTAAAGTTACCTGTTGTGGAGGAGAGTTGCTGAAATCAGCACTGAGGAGCATTTAGATTAATTGTACTTTAGTATAGGTTTCACAAACATGGAGATACTTAATCCTTTGGTACATGAGCGTTACACTGTCAGAACTTTAAAAAGAATATATAAGAAATGCTGCTTTTGTGGAGGGGAAAATGGCTGGAAATGGCTGTACAGAGGCTAAATTCATCAAAACAGCTGTTAATAGCAATAGCATAGGGCTTTAGTTTATCATGAGTTTATCTGCCATGAGGTGTTGAGGTCTCTGCATGTGTAGGTTACCGATTTACTGTAATCATCGGGTCTTTCTCGTCCTTATAAAAACCTGCTCTATTTCGGCGAGTGTCTGTCTTCTTCTGTAGTCAAACCGCAAGATATCAAAATCTACCCGGATACGGCAATGCTGCTTTTTGATTGGCTGTTCAGTAGATATACTTTATGTGATTGGCTTGCGCGTGGCACGCAGCTTCTGAACTCTCGGAGCAACTCCGTTGAGTTCTACCTGTTCCATTGTTACAGAGGTGCAACTTTGTGGACATTACCATGTTCATATAAATGCGTGAGAAATACAATGTGTGGCGTGTGAACGGGTGGGAATGCGTGTGTCACACGCTGAATGCGTGAGACTTGAGAGCACGCGAGACGCCTGCTTTCGCTATTTTAGATGGCTCAAAACTTGGATTATTTCGCCTTGTTGTGTACTTTCAACCGCGCTCCCGTCAGGGGGGCTTTCTACGGCAGGGGTGCATTCTACGGCACAACACCGGCGTGGATAAGTCCTGCTTCTCGTTCTCGCAGCTTTGCAATGCTACCACAGGCTCTCCAAGCACTCCAAGTACACGTGAAGAGTGTGCGCATGATTGGAATAATGGAACGCGTCAGCGAAGGAGCCGGGAGGATTTACTGACCGTCCAAGTGTCATTTAAAGGGCCGATTTCTGAAGTGCTCAGTTTACGTATTGAGTCACTCACATGATAATAAAAGAAAAGAAATTTTCCGACCCCCCCCCCCCCCTAAAAAAAATTCTCCTTGGATCTACACGATTCACGTAAGTCACCCTTTTTGACTTCAAAACGGCGAATTTCGCCGAAAGGTGAGAGATTTTCATGCCTGTTATTTGGAGTCCGCTCAGCCGTCAACACACCTCTAACTATTAAAATCCATGCTTAGCTAATCATGCAATAGAAAGAGCTCTTGTAAGTCAGCACAGGTGGATGACACAGATGATAAAAACCAGCACATCAAAACGTACATTTACCACATCAATGTGACGTTACTTGCTTATTTCTTTTCTTTTAGTCTTGACCTTGCTGCTCTAAAGAAAGAAAAAAAAACTCCCGCCTCATTCACAGGCGCCTTGATGTCAGACACTTAAGTTTCCTTGCCTTCAACTCTATTACTATGAGAGCCTATTATTCATCTATAAAGAGATGTGAGTGTCTACAGGTATAGAGCGGCATAAGAGGCTGAATCACACGCTTCTAATTCTGTAGCCAGAATGGGATTCATAAAGGCAACAGTTTGTGAAAGCGTGTGTGTGTGCACTGCTTCATAAATCTGTTATAAATTAACTCTGGCATACTCTGGAATTAATGTTACTAAGGCTAGTCAAGAAATTTAACTGGTTTCCACTTTAAAATATCTGGGGTTTTTGCTTGAGCATATCCAGTACGTTACCAAAAAGATTAAGGTTCTACTTCGTTTTTACTACAGAAACAAATCTCGTTTCTCTTTTATGGTTAAAAAGAGACATTTTTACCTGTTCTGGATTATGGTGACGTGCTGTACATGAATGCTTCTGCTCAGAGTCTACAGATGTCGGACAGTGTTTATCATGGAGATTTATCACAAATTGTAGATTTCTTACACACCATCGTGACTTATACTTGAAGGCGAACTGGACTTCTCTAAGCACACATCGCCTCGGACATTGGTATGCCTTTATCTACAAAGTCGTTCAAGGCAACGCTCCG